TCCTACGACGTGTGAGGGCTTCTTGATGTGCCACTCTCTGGGAGCGCCTTTCATCGGAAAGTGGAACAATGCTCCACTTCTGCGATAGGAACCGCTGTAAGGGGGCGGGGAGGGAAGGAGGCGACTAGAAGAACGACACCGAAATTACCGGGATGAACATTCCCTGGAGTGCCAGCCGTTTCGAAGCGTCGTGGATGGCTCGACAAAGAGTTCGCGGAGTATGAAATTGCCGCAATAGTTTCCGTCGCGATAACTCGCGGCGCCATTCTAGCCACTTCGGATCCTTTCACGATCTCGGTGATACGTTCGACCGAAAGTCCCCCCCCGGGGGTGCATGGCGTTACCGCGCGCGTTAGCAGGGCGTACATAAGCGCAACGTCGCCAAACTTCGCCATATCGCGGATCGTAACGATGAGCAACGCTGATCTTCTCCAGCGCGCGAGAACCCGGCGATAAATACAGACAAACTCTAGCGACTCTCTCTCTCTCTCTCTCTCTCTCTGCTCCATCATCTTCATCTTCGCAATTTTATGTATTCAAATCGTCCGATCGAGATCGTTATTTTTGTCCTATAGCTACGAGACAGGAAATTCGAAAAGAAATAATTGTATTCTTGAATACAAATATTATACATAAATTAAATAAGACTCGTGAATCGAATTTTGGAAAAGGCAGAGCAGATTTTCAGTGAACATTAATTATTCTTAAATCTTTGACAATTCTTATATAATTAATTCATAACACTCCATATTGATTAACAAGGAAATAACAACTCCGAGAATCCTTTCTGCAGTTAAGAGAATTATATAGCTATAGCTTTACATTTATCCCAATGCTGTCCAGCCGATATAATTCCATTTCTACTGCCGCGCAGAGAACGTGTCCGTCGTTTCTATTGCTTGTATCGTATCGAAGTCGCGTTCTAAAATAAAATAGATAGACATATATGTAATCGAGCTTCCCGAAAAAGGGAAAATAAAATGCGCAACTAAAGCGAAGAGATCTAACAATCGAATCTTTTGTACGACCAATTATAGTCTTGACTACTTGCTTCGCGTCAATATTAAAATATCGGATGCTGCATAATTAATATATTAAATTAGATAGTTAATATCGTATTAATATCGAATCTTCGTCGACAAATCGACGTGGCATATGGAATTTCACGAGAAACGAGTTCTATTTTATTTTAGATATTCTTCTTCCAACAGTAAGCGATTAAAGATGACTTCGATTAAATTCCACTTCACTCTTAATCGGATTGATTTACTTAATTACCACGTAATATTTATATTTTATGCGGATAGAATTATTAATTTCTATATGTTTAATGTACGAGAAAGGAAGGATTAAATTAGAGACCAATTACGTAGTTAGAAATTTCGTTTTTAAGTAATTTTGCTTGAATTAATCTAATAATTATAGTCAATTATCGCGCGCTTTATGCAAGAAAACTGTATGTTCTTCCAATTTGTTTTGGATGGAAAAAACATTTTTGCTTTTATATATAGAGGGAAGGGAAGAGTAAACGTGAAAACTTTAAGAAAACAATGTGACATAACGCTCACATAGCTTTTCTACGTTTTAGAGAAATCCTTAAATTAAAGACTAAACTCCATGGCATCGCTATTTTACCGACAATTTGTGCGCATGTATAATGCGTGCAATATTGATGTAATAATAATGTGTTTACTACCACATCAATATTGCACACACGTACACATCGTAACAAAAATTTTCTAAACAAATAATCTTTTACATTAAAGTTTCTAGCTTATATATTTCTAAAGACAGTACTGTTCTTTCAGGTAATCTCTAGTCCAAATCAATTAAGATTGTTTTACACATACCTACAAAGTATAAAACGTTTATATAAAGCTGCAAATATATTATTACGAGTCGACGCCAACAGCCGATAACACAACTGTGATTTTCCAACTTTTTTTTCCGTTTTTGATATGAAGTCAACCGCGGTTTAGGCTACATTATTGTTTATTCTTTAATCGTGAAAAAGGATTTTTAAATGCAGTTAGAATTAAAAATACTTGTTTGAAAAATAATCTCTTTTTGTAGATAGAACCATCAATATAATAAATAACGCGATAATTAAGCCTGCAATTACTGGACGGCATCGGGTGTTTCAAATCATCAGAATTTCATAATTTTGTCTGATGATTTCAATGTATTTTAATGCATATATATATTTTACATATACGTGTGTATAATCTTTTCAGATCATAACGTCGAATTTTTTTGTATTACGCGGCACATAAAAAAAATACGAATGTTATTACCTGGATTTTGAAATTTTTACAGAAATTATATAGATCGTTCGAAGCTTTATTGTTTTACACAGCCGGGTGTGCTACTTTAGGGGCGAAAAGTGTAAAAAATGCGCAGAGCCGGTAACAATAACGGACGGATCCGCGGATCTTTTCACGTGGCGCGTCCCCGCGCATCGTCCCGTGAAAGCGCAGCTGACACGTGGGTCTCGCGCGCGCGAGGGTTTTCTGGGTCAATACAATTCCGGCGGAGGTGCGCGAGCGCGGCCGAGCGCGGGCTCCGGAATAACCTAACTTCTCTCCGGTACAGTCGCCCGCGGAATTATTGACCACCGATCGCCCGATGTAAATATTATGTACAAATATTGCGAATGGGCGCTCCGTATGTCGCCGTAGTCGGTCGCGTAAATGATATACCAAAACGTTGCGAATGTTGCATATTAAATATTCATCACATTAAGCTAAATCGCGTCGCGTTGAATCGTTAAAATAAATCGAGCGAAACACGACGCGATTTACTTCAATTTGGACATCCCCGACGAGAAAGGCTCTCAAGCCGTTCCCACTGACTGTACTTTTCCCGCGTACAGTCCGCGGGACAAGTATTGTCCGTCCCCCCCGCGCCGGAACAAGTATTGACGCGCGTCTCACGTCGCGAATTCGCCACGTGGTGGTTTACGTGACTCGGGAACGCGACGAGGAGCCGTGTCGAGGGTGTCGTATCGTCCGTCAGTCTTCGCCGGCTGGGACGTTTCGGCGGGCCGAGTGGCGTCTGGAATTATAATTCGCACGGCACACCTGCCGTTCGCCGCGTCGAACGCCGTGGACTGTACCGACGGTGGCGCAGTACAGTCCGCGGGGTTCTAATTGACGACGCCGCGTCGAGCCGTTTGCGAGAGGTCTCGCCGGGCCCGCGACCGGGAACTCGGGATTTACGCGCGATCCGTGCCGCGGCCGCCGTCGCCTTGTCTCGCGCGCGTTCCCGGGCCCCGGCGTCGCGACGCCGCGCCGGCCGTCGTCGTCGGTGGCGCGGCCCGCGCGACGCGTCGGCCGCGGGGGGACAAAAGAATCTCGGACGGACTGTACACGGCGGCAGTTGTATTGACCGCGGGCGCTGGATATCCCACCGTCCCGCTGCGGCGCGGGTGAGGGAGGAGAGCCGCGCGCGTTTCGGCGAGGAAGAGGACCCGGCGGCGGCGAGCGGTGGTGATCGCCAACGCGAAGTTGACGCGGGAGCGACGTGCCCCGCGGAGGGAAAAAAAAAAAAAAAACGGCGACTCCCCGCCGAGAGGATCTCGAGGAGCTCGCGCCCGAGACGTTCGCACCGACGACGCGGTCTCGGCGATGTCGACGACCCGAGAACGACGACGCTCGCCGTTGAGTTAATCCGTGAATCGGATCCTTCCAAGATGCTCGCGAGTGATCGCAAAGTCGAGTTTTGAGAGTGAAGGAAAGAGCGAGAGAGAGAGAGATTCGAAGGCGACGATCGGTGGTCGCCTCTCGTCACGTGATTCGCGTTCTTTCGCGTGCGTCACACGTCGCGTGCGATTTAAATCCCCGGCCTGGCCCGTCGAACCCCGAGGGGGCGAGCAGGATGGGTAAGACGAGAGGCGTCCACGAGACGACTCCCGAATTGAGGAATCGAATGGTGGGAATGTACGAGGCCGGTCTGGGCCTGCGGGAGATCGCCGCCGCCGTCAATTGCTCGGTAAATAAATCTCTTTTTTTTTTAATTTGAAATTCTAACATTGTTGTAGCCTTTGCTTTTTTTTTATTAACTTCCGCTTCACTATCCAGTGAAAATACACTCGTTAATCCTGATTTTCAGCAACGTACCGTGAAGAGGTGGTTGAATAGATTCGACAAGGAGGGCACGGTGGAGACGCGGGAGCGTTGCGGACGCAAAAGAGCCACTACTTCGGAGCAGGATGAGGCGATCATTCGTCTGGCCACTCAGACACCCATAACGGCAGCGAAGGCGGTACTTCCCGCGCTAGGTCTCACGTGCTCCGTGGACACCGTGAGAGAGAGGCTGCACAAGGCTGGAATTCACAACTGGAGTCCGTCGCGCAAATACATGCAAAGGATTCCGTTGGGGTTAATATTTTTAACTACATTTTAGATCTATAAATATATAAATTCTCTCGGATATTGTCTTGCATAAATATATATAATATATATTAGAGAGATCAAAGTTTAATTCTACTTTTGTTTTTTATTTCACTCGCTGTAAAGATAGCAAGCACAGATGTGTAACTTTCTGTATTTCTGTATAATAAGTATAAGGGTTGACTAGGAGTCCTTGTTAAAATGTTACAATTAAAATAAACTTTAGGTCTTCAATAATACATAATAATAACCAAACGTTTGTAATTATTATTTTTGTCAATCACTGAAGAGGACCACATTAAAGGTCGAAACGTTTGATTGTTATTATGTATTATTGAAGACCTATTAAAGTTTATTTTATAATTGTAACATATTTTGACAAGGACATCTAGTCAGGCTCGTTAGCCCTTATACTTATTATGTATGATTTTAAATCGTTAGAGCCGGTTGTTTTTTTTTAAATTCTTCATTTATTTCATTGCCAAATTGTTTAAGTAAAATCTTAGAAGATTTTAAGTAGGAAAAATTAAGCGTCTTGTTTGCGAGAATAGTTCGAGTTTTAATATCTCGTCCGGATGTATTTTTTCAGTGATGCAGACGGCGCAGCGATTCAGCAGGCGGTATGGCGGCCGACCGGCACTCAATTAGGCAAGAAGAAAACTTCCAAAGAGTCGAACAAGACCGAGAGGAGTAGCGTCACGGTTAAGAAGAAGAATTCGTCGAAGAAGGTGAGATCTCGAGAGGTGTATGCCGACGATGGCGCGCCGTCAGAAAGTCTGAAGCAGAATCAGAGCACCGAGCAGCAACAGCAGCAACAACAGCAGCAGCAGCAACAACAACAACAACAACAACAACAAGGATTCGTATTTCCTCAGCAAAATCTCCCGCCACTGCCTTCCGCTCCTCAAGTCACTGAGATGCAACCCTCCGCGCAGCCTGTAGTACCCACGAGTCAGACGGAGTTCGGCAACGCGCTGAGCCTGGTGCAGCAGCCGCAGCAGCCCATCTATCAACACTCGGAATTGAGCATGATACCAACTTGGCCGTTGTCTTTGGTGCAAGAGAGTCATCATTATCCGCAGGTTTGTTTTTCGCTTATTTCCAAAACGTAACTCGCGTATACACGCATTCGATTACGCTTGCATGTTGCTCGCAGGGACAACCAAATCCCATGCCTCACGAGCACCCACCGCCGCAGACGCAACTGCAGGAGCTGCACACGCAGCAGGAAGCTGCACAGCAGCAGCAACAGCAGCATCACGCGCAACAGGCCCAGCAGCACGTGCAGGCGCAAGTACAGACGCGACTGCAGGATCAGTCGCATCAGCAGAATACTCAGTCTCACCATGCCAATCTCGATCAGCAGCGACTGTCCGTGGAACGTCAGATTCAGCAGCAACATCAGCGCTTGCAGTCCGGCATGCCCAGTCCCGAGCACGAGATCGCGATGGGATCGGAGAGTTCGAACACGTGTAGCTCCAACGAGAACAGCCAGTCGTCCTGCGAGCCGCAGCAGAGCAGGGAATCGTCGCGGAAGAGAGGCCAGAGATCGGAAAGGTCGAAGAAAACGAAGAAAGGCGGCAAAGCGAAGGGAACGCTGGAGACCAGCGTGGAGATCAGGAATCGCATGATCGGAATGTCCGAGGCCGGGCTGTCCACCTTGTCCATCGCGCTGGCGATCGATAGATCGGTATGTCGAAAATATTTGCTCGCTAGATTTCTAAATTAAGCTAAGACAGTAGATTTCAGCACATTGTAGATCTCTGGATCACGTGTGTGGTGTGTGTGTGTGTGTGTGTGTAAATTAGTTATGAAAATTGTATTAACGAACTCGAGAGAGTTAACGCAAGAGATTTACATGGACATGATTTTGAATTAATCAGGAACGTACTGTTAAAAGATGGTTAGAACGTTGGAATAAGGAAGGCAATGTGCAAACGAAGGAACGAAAAGGTCGACGTCGTATCACTACCAAGGAGCAGGACGAGGCCATCGTCGCGATGGCCACCCAGCATCCTCTCACCGCTGCTAAATATGTAGCACCTGCGCTAGGTCTTAAGTGCAGCGTGGATACAATTAGAGAGAGGCTCCACAAAGCTGGGATACACAGTTGGAAGTTGGGCAAGAAGCAAGGGTTAGGCGACCTATCTTTCTATAATTTCCCCTTTTGTTCTTTAGAAACTTCTAAATTTTTTTTAAGAAAAGAAATTAAGACTTTGTTAAGAAATCTATTGCTACAATTAAAACGCTTTTTAATTATAGAAAATGTCTTTAGTAACATGGATAACAAAACGTGCAATTAACGTGATGTATTATTTATTTTTTAGTGAAGGCAATGCAGTCCACACAGTCCACTTGTGGCAGCCGAGCGGCAATCGCCCCAACAAACCGAAAATGCCAGGAGAAAAGAAGAGGAAGGGTGGCGATAAGAAACGCAGTCATATGACGAGCAACAGTCAGAAACGTGTCGCGCGAAAAAAAAAGAGCAGCGCGCCGCCGCCGCCGCCGAAAGCGACTCCGCCTCCGGCAAATATAATGCCGGAACAGTCCGCGTTATCCTTCCACAATCCCGGGAACAGTAAGTATCTGTGATATCTCCTGCTGTATGTACATTCATTTTCGGAGCAAAAAAAAAAACTAATTGCTTTTAAAACCACTTTTTCAGTGGCAAGTTACGTTTCAGGCCCTAACATAATGCAACCGGTGCACAATATCGCCGCGCCGCCCCCCGCACTGCCGCAACCGCAACCACCTCCGCCACCGCAGCCGATGCAGCCGATGGGCCCGATAATGCAGCAGAGACCGGACTGCAGACTGGCACCGATTGTGCCGCCCGTGTCGGGCCCCAGCAATTCCGGCGTCGCCTATCCGTCGTGCATGGTCGGCGGCAGCAGCCACGCGAGTCACATGGAGCAAACGGACCCCCTGAATTACGAGCCGTACATTTGGAGTTTTTAAATCGACAATCTGAAGTCCGAAATCTGACATCTCCGCGTATGTGTAGGATTGATGATAGAAAAAGTTTAATTGCATTTAATATTCCGCCATTCGTTAGAGAGCTCCGTATAATAGAAAATTACGTGTGAAAAGAGGGCTTCGACAATTGAAAGAAAAACAAAAAACGTTTGAGAGAGTCGGTGATGCAGAGATTCTGTTGATACGATTACGATAAGTATTTTAACGTTGCGATCTTTTTTGTGTACGATTTAACTTATACATAAATTGCAATATTAGAAGATACGTATATGTGTGTGCATGTGCAAGAAGAAAGAATAGGTGATTTTATTGTTACATTTAAGAAAAGTTATTGACTTTATTATTATTAACTTTTTGATGAGAGACTTCTATGGTGACATACAGCGTTTAGACCAATTTAAATCAACATGAAGACTATAATATGTACATATAGGATCGTATAGAGTAGAGCGAAGACGTACGTCACGTTTATTTTGCTATATACCGTCTCTTCGAATAATGTGCAGTCATGATTAGATATCAATCATTGTATATTAAAAATTGATTTTTATACCATACGATCAAACTTGAATTGAATTAAGGTTTGGCATTTATGTTGTAAATATTTTCGACGACTGAACGAAAGCAGGATCTGAGTATCAAATGAATTTAGCAGAAGGCACAAATACCTATGCTGATTCGGCGTATAAACTACTCACTAATAGCTACGTAGAATAGAAAAGTCCAAAAAACTTCTTTACGAATCCAGTGATAGATCTATTTTCGATATATAACTCCTATTCGATTCCTTTTTTTGTGAGAGTTATATACATACATATATATCCGTAGATGATTTTAGATAGTCTTTCATATATTTAATTAATTATATATGAATCTGCTTTAAAACTACAAGTACAAATTGGCATGTTCCAATTAGAAAAAAAAAGTGTAGCAAATCAATTTCAAACAGGCTGCCAAAATACATCCAATGATGTAAACTGCCTTTTCTCTATCATACTCATACGTACATGCACACGTTCTTTTAACGTATGATTACGTATTATATACACCGTTTTATATATACATTTTTTTTTAGTGCAGCATTCAACTAAAAATTAGTATCTTATACAAAATTTTATGTTCGTTTTTTTTTTTTTTTTTTTAACAAAGCAACATTCATATAGTTCGTCCGCATACAACTACCGGTGGTACAAATGCAAAGTAGTGCACTAGTTACACGAAAAGTGTGAGAGATATTGTAGATAAATTTCGTCTGTTCAAATGCCCATCTTCGTTCACGCATTGATATCGAATAGTAGAGTATTACGTTACTCATATCGAGTGAGAATGTGTCCTGCTGTATTTTACAATTACGCGACAGTGTGTTAACGATTTATACGTCGCGTATTGTATATATATCGCATGATTAATAGAAATATTTTCAGCTACATCCACCGAGATCTCCACCGCGTTTTGTATTTGTTTTATAAGGGAAAAATAAAAAGAATTACTAGACTCATTCTCCCATGCAGCTGCAGGCTGGTCTCTTCCTTGAGAACATTAAACGTATCTTTTCGTACGGAAAGGTGTAACAGAGTCGATTGCGTGAACACATGTAACAGCTTTACTTCGAATTACAACTACAATCTCACTTTTTTTTCTTATCACGTGAGCTCCCAGATTTGTGCGACGTTATTTACAACCGCGTCGGGATTGCTTTTGTGAAACATGAAGTATCCCTGAATCTGCGCCGGGCTGACTTTCTTCTTGAAGGACATAACGCTGCTCGCGAATTCCTTTGCGAGCGTCCCAGGATCCTTGTCCGGTTCCTTGTAAAATCGTAGAAACATCTGCTCGACCTGAGTCGGACTGCACCATCCTGAGAGAATATGTGCGTGATATATGATTTTAGATAGTCTTTTATATATTTAATTTATTATATAGCATCGATCGATATAATTATTTAGACTCGTTTAATTATCGTTTTATAGGCTCTTTTTTTTATACGTACCGATGTATTCTTTCATATCGACTCTGCCTGGTCTAACGAGCGCAGGGTCTAATCTGTCCAAATAATTAGTCGTCATAAATAATATTCTAGCTTCTGTAGAAGCCACGCCATCCAAGCAGTTTAATAGACCGCTGAACGTGACTCTGTTGAGGCCGTCGTACGCTGCTTTAACTAAAGAAAAAAAAACATGTTAGAATAACTGATAAATATAATTTATTGTCCTATTTCATTTTGTGCTTGAAAAATTGTATTTACTTTCTTTGGATTCTTCCCTACTGCTAAAAGCGGCATCGATATCCTCGAGCAGGATGATAGTCTGCTGCGGCGCGACTGCTAATAAATGATTCAGTCTGTCGTCCGTAAGACCTCTCTCGGATAAATTCAATACGCAAATACCACGTTCCAGTTCCCCGGCCAGCGCGGTAATGTACGAGGACTTGCCGCATCCTGGAGGTCCGTGTAACAAGTAGCCTCGGCGATACGGTATCCCTAGAAAGGATTGTAGTTTCTGATTCTTAAAGAAATGTATACAGCATCGGTTTTTCGTTTCACCGGAAAAACGAAACTTTTGAGACATTTCTAATCAGAGCAGAAAATAGAGATCTTCGATTCGCGATTCGATACCTCTCTCGCTGTACCACGACGGGTTGCTGATGAATTCCTGACAGTCGTTTACTATCCTTTCGGAAACGCCGGCGTCCAGGACCACCGATTCCAGCGGTCGCCTCTTCCTGGCGTGCCCGAACTGCCGCCACTCGCTCCCCGCGGCAACGTACATTATAGTCTTGCCCTCGTGTTCCTTCAAAGCCATCTGTCTGGCTGTACGAATCAAGAATTGCCTCTGATTTTTCCGACGTTACGTAACGCGTTTTCGTAAATATTTGCAACTCAACCTTCTTCGAGAATGTTAAAGTATATGCTTCTGTCTTTGCCGAACGCCGTCAGTTGCACGGTTTCCCAGGGTACGCCCATATGTAAATCTAAAGTCTGCTGTTCCCTGGTTCTCTCCACCTTTATCCAGTTCCCCTTATATCTGTGGAAATTAAGAGAAACATTAGGAGGCGGTCGAAACTTTAAGTTTCGGTTCAATAGAATAAATTGTGATCGATGTATTTCACATTTTAGCTTTAGAAAGTATAAAAGCTCCGACACAATGAAAGGAACAAAGAGCGAAGAATTGAAAGCTGGGAATAAAGAATTTTTTGGAAAGTCCAAGTAGAAAGAAAAGAAACGAAAGATCTCATTGTCTACTCCTAATTTTTTTTCCTAAATCCTCATTTTCCACAAGTCTGTTCTTTATTCTCTTCATTGTGTCCAAACTCTAACTGCAAAGGGACAAAAGGGTGCATTCCATTTAACGCTCGCAACGCTCTTTGAATCATTTCATCCTTGTGGTTTATAAAATGTTAAATAAAGACAAGTAATGCCCTGTTGGCGAACATTAAATGGAATGTGGGAAGGATATGGATTTTCGTACAGCACATTTTGTCCTTCGAACGTTCAAAGAGTCCATCCAATTTTACCGACCTGAAAAAGTGAGTTCCTATGCTGGGAATAAAGTCGTATTTCGTTTTCACGTGGCCAGTCTCCCTCTGCTCGAAGCTGGTCTCCACAGAGAGATGCTGCGTCTTTCGCGCGCCCTTGTGCGTGATCCATTGGAGGAGCCATTGATAGCTCTTATCGCGGCACGGCACCTCCAGCGTGATCATGTAGTGTCGTCTATAATGACAAACAATAATGTTAAATTAAATGAACGAGTTAAGTGTTTTAAGTATGAAGGCGAAGAGGTGCGATCTAATCATGTTGGTGAAATGTTTGTGTTGTACAAAGCGGATACGGCGTTTAGCATTGTACCTGAATAACACAGCCCCAAACTGGGCGCCTTTCCTCAGCAGAGCGGCCCCGGCTCCTAGGCCAAACAGACCAAAACCAGCTCCGAAGTACGGATTATCGGACAGAGCTTGCACGTACTCGAGAAGCGTCATGGTGCAAACTGACGCTGCGCAATTTGCACATGAAAATTTATATCACAGATGAATTAGCAGTTACAATCTCTCTCTCTCTTCCCGTTGGAAACTAATTCTACGTTGTAGAATTATGTAAATAAGTATAAAAATGACTCTGAGGGCTACGACTTGAGGTTCACGAATGGCAGAGGTTAGGTATCATATCAGCTGATCAGCATCCAATGTTTATGCAAGAACTGAATGGTTGGATGAAACACGCTTCATGAAAGCATTCTGCACAACGTTCGATGGAATATTCTCGGTCAATTTGCGAAAAAGTGAAAACCACTTTTCAGGTAACCTCTGCGTTCCAACACGTGTCGCAAAGCACTGCTGCCGGGGAACAACATTGCCGATAATTACAGAGTTCTGCAATGTCACATATCTTAATTAACAAAATAGCGCTGATGCTCGGCATTACTCCAAGTCAACATTATCTCAGAAACGCTAATGCATTATTGAAAAAAGATAGCGAGCAAAAAAAATATACATATATTATTTAAAAGTATATTTCATCTTACATAAAACAGGGGGAGGGGGGGGATGACCGAACTGATGTATTACATGATTCTTATTTTTTATTTAATGAATTCTCTGCTCGAAACAAATATTAATATATATTTTCGTATTACATAAACAATAACATAAATGAAATAATTAAAATAATGTCATAATCGAATGAATCATCATTCGAAAAGTTAATTAAAATTAATATACGGTTTATAAACATTTGCAAATTCAATTGCAAAAATTTTCTTGCTATTTAAAAAATATGTCGGTGTATGTACGTATTTAAATAATGAGCAGACGAAAAACAAAGAGATGAGAAAGGGAGAGAAGAGGAGAAAGAGGAAGAGAAAAATTAATTTGCAGTCCTGTTACAAATGATTATATTTCACTTTATGTTACAAAAAGAATCTCTACTACGTATAGTGTACCGTCGTTTAATAACGTCAACTCCAGGTACCACGAGTGTGGCTTGCAATACGCATCTCGTCCTCTTCTCTTCCTCTCTGCCTCCTTCTCCGTTCCGTTCTCTTTAAATGTATTCTTGCAAATAATAATCACTGAACATCTACTTAACAACTATAGCTCCGAGTTAATTTAAAATGACTGGGCAAATCCCTGCACCGATTAATTCTCGAATAAACGCGGGAGAAAAAATCACGAGGTTTGCTATAAACGTGTCGGCTGGGTGTCTCCGGGTCTTCATTTCCTACGTTAACGTTTAACGATATATCTATATCGTAGCTACGGAGAAAATATAATTACGCTCGTTGACGTTCGTATAATATTTGTATGTGTATGTATAAATCGTTCGTGCTAATCTCCGCGACGTTGGTACGTTTCTTTTTTTTTTCTTTTTTAGACAATGCATTGTTATAATGCCGTAACGCTAGAGAGTGCATTTACAGTATGTACAATATTCTCTGGGTCCATGCTCGCAAGTTTTCGCTACGAGGATCTTTCGTTTGTCTTTACAATCGAGAACGGAGTGCAAATAATTCACCCCTCCAATCCGCCCCTCCGCTTTGGTCAAGTACAATTATTCAACACGAAATCTGTACATTAAGTCAAACAATTATTACATAAATCCATGTAAATGTTACAATTCATGTTAGCAATCGCAACTTATCTTCCGTGGAATATGAAATTAATTGAGCTAAATGTGTGTCCTATATTAGAATGCAATTAATATTTTATACCGCGAGTTAGTCATAAGGCATTAAAACAATCGGTACAAACTTTTAACGAGATTTAATCAATTTGTAGTGCCACATTAGTGTCCTTATATTAACAATGATGATCTCTTTTAGAAATAGCTGGCTACGGTAAAAAAATAACGGAATGTATATCGCAGAATTAATACCATCGTCGTCCAGTTCGCGTATCAAAATTATTGCTAGAAAATAATCTCTCCGAATGACAAGGTGCAAAAATATCTCGCGTAAATGCAACATGGACCCGATTGCGGCGCAGCCATCCCGACGACGTCCCGCAGCCCGGGACGTTTCACACACGCGTCATTATATCGAGAGTTCCTTCTCGAATTCTCTTTTAGAGATAATAAGTCCAGCACACATTACGCAGTCAGTTAACTTCTTAGCCTACGCCGTTACAGCTAATCGGACTTCTCACTCGAGAATCCCATTCTTAATTCTCTCTCTCTCTCTCTCTCTCTTTTATACTTCTAGTCTCACGTGATCTAAACGCACCACCGTCAGGAAGCTCACCGGGCGGGACGCAATGAGAGCTTTTGTGGAAGCCTTGAGCAAATCTGTCCGCCATCCCCGATCCCCGTTTACCAATCCTCGGCGGACAGATCCTGATATTATTGTTCACGATGTACCCTCTTCTTAATCTTCTCTCTAATAGGTATTTGTCTGTCTCAAACTCGCTCTTCTTTTTTCTTTTCTCTTTCTCTCTCTTTCTAATAATCTTAAACATGAACTTGATGAATAATTCGGTTGCGTACTCCTTGGTCATCCTTTTCAGAAAATACCGATTTAAAAGAATGCAGATCAAGCGGGTGAATAAAAAATCGTTAATATGGATTATTAAAATAAAACGCCGATAATTATGGTACACGAAGTGAAAGAGGTAAGAATTCCTTTTCTGAAAGAGGATTCGGGATAATCACCGGTGAGATAGAAATTCACGACGCCGATACGCAACCTTTTCACGACGTGAAGGAACTTTGTGAAGGACGTAAATGTACAGAAAGACTCCGTGTCGGTCTCTCGAAAGGACAGAATTGTTTTTTTTTTGGCAAAAGTTATCGAAGGTGTGCGCTTCCACGACTGGACGCCATTCAATTCGTCAATTTTTGTCGACTTCGGAAATTGTGCCTCATTATCGTATTTTCAAACATCTTTTCAAACATTAATCAACAAGAAGGAAAAAAGTTCTATATCGCAGTTTCAACTACAGAAATCGCATAGGATTATCTTATCAGTGGAACGATTTTACTGTTTCTAAAGAATCTATCGGAGTATCATTTAATTCAACACAGCTATTAAGTATCGACAATTATGCACAATTCCCGAATTACAATTGTCTTTTGTAAATTACAATACAGATTTATCCAATCTCTCGGACGCTAATGTCTCTCCAGTCGCGTGGAGCAGCGCGGACGGCTAGGTAAGAGTTCGAGGACGAAATTTCTCGTGAAAAATAGTGAGGACAGCTTCTCGAGAAACGGAAGGACCTTTTTTTTCTTTTTTTTTTGCCCGGCTCGTTCCCGACGGTGGTGCGAGGCGTGAAGGGAAGGGACGGTGGTCTGAGACTGGCTCGGTTTGTGGACACAAATTAGCCCGACCTGTGTCTAGCGCCTAAATGTGTGTACGAATCTCGCAGAATTCCCACTTCGCTTTTTACCTTCGAAGATTATAATATACTTTAGGAATTAGAATCAACAGATAAAATTAACTATCCAGAGCCGATTGCACCGATACTGATCAGAGTAATTAAACGGAGTTTCTCATCTCCTCTTATCTAGGCTATTACAATTAACTTTAAAATCTAGAAAGAGAGGTAAGGACCGTTAATCGAGTTATTGCAAGTTATTGCAAGTTAGTTAACAATTAGTGCAAGTGACTCTTACTAAAGTAAACTAAAATAATATTACACCGAACGTGTACACCGTTCGAAGAAGAAACGCAAAAAAAGGAAATAAATAGTGAATAAAATAAAAATCTGAGAAAAAAGGGGCTTTATTCCGAAATAAAATATGATCGACGGACGAATTGTATAAAACGGGAAGTAGTGTCTTCATTCGCGACACGCGTCGTAGACACAGGTGACGTGATAATTACAAGATATAAATATAATTTAATAATTATAATAGCGACAACTGATCAATCGATTGATAGTCGATGAACGATCGATAAATTCTCTTTAGGTAATTTGTCTCACCGCGACGAAGCCGACAGGCAGATAGTTACAATAATAAATATACAATTGTAGCAATAATATCGATAATAATTAGCAATGATAATAGTAATAGGCGCGATAACAAATTTGATTGACTGACAATTCACGACATCATTTACATGTTGTAGACATGTACAAATTTATTTTCGCAGGACGCTCTTATTACGTTTTCTCTTTTTGAATCGCGTGCACACCGCAATATGATATACAATGATATAACAATATTCGTTAAAATACTAACACGGTCGGTACTTCTCCGAAATTTCGTAATCAAACGAGTTACACAATCGATTGTTTTAAATTGGAATGATTCGCTTTGCAATCATATATACATATATATATCACTAGAGGGATAATACGTGAGCGCGAGGTGCGCGACGTATCTGCAGAACGTATCAAGGTAAAAGAGCATCCTGCGAGTTGCACTGAGCACACTTATCACGATATAATTACACTCCTACGAAAAGTACAAGATAGCGGTAATCAATGAAACTTGTAATCAGAGCTCTCTCGTCGTGCGCGCCCCTTTGTTGAAACAAACAAGCCTTTTTCGTGTAACCCCCGCCGTACGTAAAGATCGGCGATGGGATTATGCGTCGAGTGTTAAAACTGCCTGTTGCCGAAAAGCGCCTTGTCACAAATAATTAAAAAAAAAAACATATACATAAAAATATAAATAAACATAACTTAACAAGTGATAAAACCTGCGCATCGAGTAGCTGCAATCTAATTACAGTAATTCAATATAATAGTCAACTTCTAATGAACAATAGGTGTAGGTTCAACAAGCTGCCAAGAAGTCAACGTAAAAAAGTGATCTAGAGCCCGCTTTAGGCCGTTCCTAACAACAAAATCGCGAACGAAAGAACGTGATTGTCGTGCGAGTTGCGAATTGCACACGGTTAACAACGTTAGAGAAAGCGTACAACGATCTTTCGACGTTGAGAAATAAGCGTTGGATACGTTGGAATTGGAGCAACCGCTACTCCGCGGCTCGAAGAGAAAAATACGCTGCCTAGAATTACAATCTAAGTCTAAAATTTATAAAATTTCTCTCTATATGACGCCCCTCGAAACAAATGACATTCTTCATGCATTCTTATTATACATCTCTTGAGTATAATGTTTCTCTACAATATTATTATCTCTCTTCGAGACACGGAGACAACGAATCGTTCCATTTAGCGTATACTGAAATATTCCTGCGACTCGACAACGCGTAAGGATCGAAAAACGGTTTCTCAAAGGGTTTACTGCGGGTGAAGGGAGATCGTTGAAATAAAACAAGTGAGCATGGGTGGACTGTGGGATCCCACAGTCCGGGTGGCGGGTGACCTGAACGTGGTTGACACTACTTGGAAGATGGGTCCCTATATCGTGTACTTTATTCGGCTACCGTTAAAAATTTTCAAGTCTCTACTTGCCTACGACATTCCATCTCGCTACTTTGATTATAAATGCTACCGGTCACGCGCGATACTTAATATTGTCTCTATTGGTACGCGATGTAAAATTCCCCCGTTCTTCCGCTATCTACCTACAAACGTTTTCGTGCGTCTCCCCCTTCTAACGTACGCTTCTTGCTACGGAGACGATTATTATGCTACAATTTACGGATCATCAACGGAAAAGTCCCTTGAATCGTTTCAGAATACATAAAGCGTTAATAAATTAAGCGTGCTAAAATAAGCGCTGAGAAGCGGTAATACGGCTCGACGAGTAGACGTCTGAAAATGTAGAGAGAAGAGTTATCCCTCCGTACAACAAAAACGAACCGAGAACGTAGTCCAGTGGAACGATCGCGTTGATTTAATGCACTTAACAGTTTTTTTTGACACGTGCTAACGCGCGTCGTCGCGAAACGTATGTGTGATTCGCGTTAAACGCCCACGTGGCGGTGGCGCACTCCGCTACGGAGTGCGCCGTTCAACGAAAGTGCGTGTAATCGTCCTACACATCCTTCGTAATTCCTAAATTCCTCTACTAACAATAGTGGTAACACAAGGCAGAGCTCCCTGAAGAGACTCTATGATATGGAGCAAAATCCATGGGGTGTGTGAAACTGAACATTTCGAAAGCCTTCAAAACGCAGCCCTTAACTCCCCCCGTTCACCGAGCGCGATTCTCCCCCGTATCAGTGAGGACGGCGTCGTCGTTTTCCTTCTCTCTTTTTTCCCCTCTCTTTTTCTCCGTTCTATTTTTCTCAAGCACGCACGCGTGCCCCGTTCATTCCATTGTAAAAATACGCCTCGCGGAATTCAACGCGACGAAACGGTTATTATACGGATAACGAGACTGCGGACGTTCTCTCTGCCTCTCCCTCCTCTCTCTCTCTTTCTCTCTAACGAAGAAGTCAATTGTTATACTCACTAGAGTCTTCCAGACCTCGCGAAACGGGCCTGGCGCAACGAGCAGTAGAAAAATTCGAAAAGGTTCTCAAAATCCTCGCTTCTCTCAGAATATTTTACTCCACATCTTCATCATTTTCTAGAAGAAATCTCTGCCTAAGTGGGGACGGTTCGTCTGTTGCGACAGCCGCGGCCTACCGCGCCCGTTCGCGCCGGCGGCGTGCCTCCTGGTGTTGCGCAGCTCCCGGTCGACCTCGAGCTCCTCCAGCTTCATGGTGAGACCGAGCTTCTGCTGCACCGCCAGGCGCAGCAGCTGATTCAGCGTCTTCCGGTCGTCCTCCGCCACGGTGAGCTGCCGCTGAAGCTCGTCCACTTGCGTCACGTACTCCTCGCAACGTGCAGCGAACATTGCACGCAGACCTGGACAGCGCACGGTTAGCGGGGGTTTAACACGATGTAGAGATAAGCGGGTGAGAGACGGAGGGGGATATTGGAATTGGAAGCGTATCGGAAATGCCCCAAGAGGAAGCAGAGGAATCAAAGGTCTCCATGATGGAATAAAAGGCACCCGTACATATTTAGTGTATAAAGTATTTATGTATATATTAAAGTTATGGCAGAGAAAAGAAAAATAACGTCAACCAAAAACCAGGTACACCGTAGACAGTTTATTGCATCGCGTTTCGCGAAGCGGGCGCGCGATAATGCTTGACTAGTCACACTTAGGAAATATTATATAGGCACACGCTCTCGATAATTTTTTATGCGACACAGTAATTATGGCAGAGAACCAGAGAGTTCGAAAAGTCAACCGCGATACCCCACAGTATTAACAGCAGCGAGTTCATAAAGACTGATAACAACCAATTTTTAATTGGCGTTAGTAGGCGTGTGTTAGTGGGACAAAATAAAAAAAAGAGTTACATTATTGAATTTCATTAATAAATAGGGAGGTTTTTGTAAAAATATCTCGTAAATCGGGGGGAAAGGTAAAGAAATGGATTTAGTAAAAAGATTTACGGGGCTAGAAAAGTTGTCTAACATAATTATGTCTCTCAATTTCTTTTCTCCGTACAATTCTTCTATTGAATTATTAAAACGTCTAAAAATGTGTATATAATCGCGATAGGAAAGGTGAAAAGAGATACGGGAATTCCGTGGAATACTCACTCGAGAATGTCGCGGCGTTTTCCTTCAACATTCTAAGCTCATTCCTCAGCTTGAGCATCGTCTCGTTGACGATACTCTTCTCGTTCTCGTACTTGCTCTTCAAATTCGTTAACGCTACTTCCGCCGTGTTCTTGTTTGATTTAAGCACCGTCCTCAACGTGGCGATCTGTTCCCGCTTGGCGGACAGCAAGGCCTTTAGTCTGATAACCTGCTCCTGGAGATCCGTTACGTCCGCCTTGTTCTCATTGACAGAGGCTGAAAAGCGATCGGGTTAAAATCAGAGAAGTTACTTTATCGATGAAATTCACAATTACGTCCGTACTAAAGAACAAAAATAAACTTTTTTTTTTATCGTGTATTTTATCGAGAATATACCCACCCTCGCAAACGTTGCAGATATTGGACTGCATTCCCTTGACTTTCGACAGTTCGATCGTGTGCTCCACGGCGTTTCGGAGATGCTTTATTTGGTCCATCGCGGTCTCTATGTGTTTCGCGATCTCCTTCGCCTTGCTGAGGCTCTCCAGATCCTTGATCTGGATGTCGGTCTTGAACAGAGTCCGGCACCAGTCCATCTTGCCGTTCTCCTCCTCCTTCTCGGGCACGATCTCGGACTTCTCGTGGTCCAGCACCACCCGCGAGGGCGTCTCGCCGTTGACGGTGCACACGTGGTGGTAGAGCTGCGCGAGCTCGTCGGAGAGATTCTGCAGATCGTTCTGAGCGGAATCGAGGAAGCCGCCCGCGTCAGCGGTGAGTTTCGACAGAATGGAGACGTCCGACTCGAGTTGCATGCTCCTCTGTTCCGTGTCCAAGAGCTGAAACGAGTAGGTGGAGAGATGAACAGGTGAACGAAAACGCGAGCACCAGGTACGCAACGGATGCGTTAGGTACGTTTTGTCTGATACTGCATGTTTATCGGAAGTTTCGTACGTGAGATGAGTTTGCAGAATAGTATTTATTAAGTAATCGGATAGTAGTTTAGGGTCCACAGTTGGCGCAGTTTTGCGAGTGCAGTATGGAGATTTTACGAGAAAAAAAAAGTATAGACAGACGATCTCTCTCTTTTCTTCGAGCATTTTCGTGCAAAACAGTCGAGTTTCCGACCGATGGTCATGCTACGTTAGATGCGCACGAAAGTTTAAGATAGAAGGAAAAGTGATCGATTCCGACTTCTCGGTTCTGAAGCGCATTCTGTCTCAAAAGCCACGTTGCATAGCGTATTACGATCCGTACGTCGTCTCTTTCGAGCGTCTCGGCAGTGACATTCGTTCAAATGCGCTGAGATGCCAGGATCCACGTGTGAAAAAATGCAAATGGTGACGAATCTCTACGGCGCTAGTCGGAGGAATGTGACTATTCTCACACGTGGATCTACGTTTAATGGAGATGAATGTTCGTCAGTAGCTACGAAAACGTGTACGGTTAAATATGATGAAGTAGTATCATAGATAGGAGGAAGCGATGTATGTGGGCTGTTAGGACACTGAGAAGCGAGTATCACTGTACGGATCATTAGAGGAGCCAACAAGACAAATTTGTTATTTAAAATATCTGGTAAATACGTCAAAGGGACCACACGTAACCCAACCTTTTCTCGAAGGCTCTTCTCTGACTCGGGTATCTGAAACGCCACAATTTCTGTTCAAAGTCTGTCGTTTTCGCGCGATAATTACGCCGGTATCGCACACACTCTAATATTCTTGCTACTAGTAAAAACTTTTATTCTCTCTCATATTTCTCTTTATCTTACGACTATTTTTTTTTAACTTACATCTTCGCCCTTTGTCGTAAATTTCGCGATAACGCAAAGTTGCAAATACGTCTAAAAAAAAAAATTGTAAGATACGAATAAATGTGTACCTTGTTCCTCAGATTTGTCAGCTCCGTTCTTAGCTGCTGCGTGGAGTCGGACACGGTTAAGCCGTTCTCCAATTCGGACAGATCTTTCTGCAATTGATTAATCTCGCGAGCGGACATGGTGCTCCATTGGTGATATTGCACAACGGCCTATTAAACCAGTAGTGTCATTAATGTCTTGTACAAAATAATACTAAACGTAGTCTTTATTTTCTTCGTTTTATGAAATTTTTGTCTATTATTTTAATATAAAAGACTTATATATAAATATACCTGATTAAGTTTATCTAACGTCGTCTCCTCGCTCTGCTTCTCCGGCAACTTCGAGTGAAGATGATGTAGCGATTGCACATGCGCTGCCAGCTGCACTATTCGCGCAACGAACGATTGCAATTCCGTCTGGCTCTTCTCGACCGCGTACTGCGACTCGCGCAGATTTTGCGTCAGATGGGCCTTCTCGGTCTCCGCGAGCTCGAGCTGCTTCTCCAGCTTCTTCAGTTCGTTCAGATGAATCTCGGAGAACAGATCGACCTGCTTGTCGGTCGCGGACGTGCCCGGCTCCTGCGTCTTCAGGTCCGCCTCGATTCTACGCAGCGCGGGCGAGTCGTCCTCGCCGTCGCTGCATATCGTCTGATCCTCGGTGATGCCGCGGATGGAGAGCGCGAGATTGCTAAGATTGTAGATCGACTCGCTGTTGATCCGCTGATCCAGTTCCTTCTTCAGCGCGTACTTGGCCTCGCGCTCGGCCTGCAGCGACTCCAACGCCTCCTCCATCTGCTTCTCCGCTATCTTCTTCAGATTCGTCAGCTCCTCCACCTGGCTGTTGAGCAGTTCCACCTCCTCCGTGAGCCGTCGTATCTCGTGTTTGGCACCCTCGAACTCCACCTGACTGGACCGCAGACTGGACACCTGCTTCTGCAACGAGATGTTCTCGTCCTCCAGCTCGGAGTAGTCCTGAAGCAGGCGCGCCTCGCGAAACCTGCACTCCCGCAGTTCCGTGCGCAACGACTTGCGCTCCGTCTCCGCCTGCTGATGATCCTTGCCGACCTCCTCGCGCTCCTGCAGCGCGTGATCGCGCTCTGCCTCCACCCGTTCCAATTCATGTCGCAACTGAAAAAAAAAAAAACAAAAAACGATTTACGACACAACGTCAAAATGCGATGCATTCGACTCTGTTTTGCACAAGTCCGATAATTGCGACGAAAATGCGACGCAAACCTGTTTCGTTTCGTTTTCCAATTCGATGATCTGCGTTTGCAAAGACGTTTCCCGAGCGGCGCTCTCGTTAAGGAGACTCTCCTCTTGCTCGATGCCGCTCTTCGCCGTTATTTTCGTAGTTGTCTGGAACTTTGCTAGCGCCTAAAAATATGAAATACAAAATATGCACTTTAGTCAAGGATAATTACATATTTATGCAAAAATTGTATTTATGTAACGTACACATAAGTGATAAGAATAAGTACGATTATTCAAGACTCTCCGGAATTTACTAAATTCTAAACAAAACAAAACAAAAATAATAATAAAATAGACCGAATCGCGCATGTTTCTCAAGTAATTTTCTAAAAAAAAAAATAGCATTTCGGGTAAAGATAACTAAATATAGATATCTGTGCATTGATTGGCCGGCAAAAGTACACGATCTGAATGAGTCATCCTACATTCCTCCAGCAATCAAATTAACACGGTTGACACTCTCTACCTGTCCTCCTACCTGTTTCTATTCCAAGAAAAAGGATCACTACTTCTTTCCGCGTATTCATTTCAAACGCTCCATATAAAATGTGTACAGCAAATAAAAATTCACCCACGCCTCTCATTTGTATTCGTTACACATTAATCGCCGCTGCCGATCAAACTGCTGTCGCGAGAGCAGAATAAATTTTCTCTCCCTTTCTCCCTCGCGGGCGTGTCGACGAGTGACACGGGGAATCGGCCTCCAAAAGGTCCCCCGGATCTTGCTGTACTAACCTCCTGCGTGATCTCCAGCTCGTGCTTCGTGTTCTCGTAGAGCGCCTCGAGGTCGTTGCACCGCTGCTGCAGGGCCGACTTCTCCTCGAGCAACGCGAGCCCGTACTGCGCCGACTGTATCTTCTCGGTGGAGGCCAAGTCGAGCTCGCGCGACAGACGCTCGATCTCGGTCCTGAGCTCCTCGAGCCCGAACCCGTCGACGGTGGCGGCCATTGCTGCCTGCGCGATGACGACGACGATGACGAGGACGACGGCGACGACGAAGACGCTGTTGGTCTTCCCTCCGGCGTTGCTACTCCTCGTGTCACTCTCCCGCTTCCTCCTCCTCCTCCTCGTTACACCACCACCTCCAGCACCTAGTCGTTATCGCGAGTGAAACGAATGAACGCCGGTCGCCGTGGTGGTTGCGCGGCCCGAGCGCGAACGCATCCTTCGGTTAATTCGCCGATCTTCTCTTTTTGTTCCCTTTTTTTTTCCTTTCCCACCGAACGCCTCGTGTCGTTGCCTCCTGTCCCCTCGACGACGCGCGCGACTCTCCCTTTCCCCCGTCCTCCCGACTTTTCACATCCTATCTGCGCCGCGAGATCCGCCGTCACCTCACCGACTGACCGTCACCGCGCGCGAGCGACACTCCGAGCCGATTTTGACAGACGCGGCGACGGTGACGACGACGACGACGACGACGACGATTCGGCCTGCACGGGGGCGCGGGTGGGCGGACGGGACGGGCGAGATCACGCGACAACCGGATGCGTGTTCCGCCGGTTCTGGCTTTTAACTCGTTTCGACGTTCCGCTCGTCCATGCCAGCGATAGAGGCCACCCGCGATTCTCTCTCTTCCCCCCTTCGCCACGCGTTGATAAAATTTTCCTCGTCGCCTACCTGACGGGCTTGTTTTATCGAGGCACGTGGACGTTAAGGGTTCACGCGCGCGACGACGCCACGCGGTTATTTATATTTCCTTCTAGGGGTACCATATAGTCCCCCGCTCGATCATCCATTCACTCGTTCTCCCTGTATATCCGCTCATTCATTAAGCGTTAGAAGTTGATCGACAACAAATAAAGATATGTAATGCGCAGTTAGAGAAGCGTGTGGCAGGATCGCGTAGAGGAATGCGAGTCGAGCGCAGTCAATCGGCGTTGCAAAATTTAATTTTGACAAATTACATTTTTGCGGCGATTTACCCGTTCTACGCGGTAGAGATCCGTGTGAGAATCTCCGCGCGTTCAGAGAAACCGTAAGAATTATTTACAATTCAGGGCATTGCGCGAGTCGTCGCTAATTAAACAATTTAAAAGCGCATTGCGAAGGAATATAATCCTTGTGCAACAGCGTGCCAATATAATTTCGAGACTCTCTCAGCTCTCTAGAAATTCCAACGCGCGAATTTCGCGTGGTAAACACCACGCTGGGCGACTGCCAATTAATTAATCAGTTAATCAATCCCCGGCGAGTCCATTTACGCATTCACGATGACACGCAGATTGCATGGATCGCCGACCGGAGCATGCGTGCGTCGGCGCAATTACGTAATTCTCCTCGACGGTCAGCAATCTGTCATGCGTAAGCAATATACACCTTGTTGCTTTCCCTGAAATCACAAAGCGTGTATTAATTGGAGCGGTCCGAGGGATTTCGAAAGAGGAATCCGAAAGGGAAAATATGTTGTTATTGAGCTCTCGCGATCTCAACGATTTGATTTCGTCTCTAAATATCAACATATCTTTAGCGAGGGGACCGCTTACATAGGGATAGCTCGGCTTTAAATCGGTTTCACTCCCCCGGTCACGTCATCTCATTGTATGTCAAAGAATACTCGGAAAATTTTTCCATGACAAAAAGATAAAGTATTCAAAGTTACTTAGCGAGACGTGACACCGTGGTGGTTCTGGACCCAATAGACTCCAGCCAAAGGACTTTCGAAGAAAAGAAGGTCGCGCGGTCGGGATGCCAAAAAAAAAGAAGACCATTCCTTTGCCTCTCCGTACACATTCTATTTCAAAAATTCAGTTTAAAAACATAACTTCGAATACTCCATAATCCTTTATTACTTTGTATTTTTTTCTTTCTTCTTCCTCTTCATCCTCCTTGTCTTCTTCCTTCATTCTTCTCTCTCACTCTCTCTCTCTCGTTTCTTCTTCATTTTTTTTTAAGTATTAATAGATTAGTTTAATATATAAGTCGAGCCGTGGACCCGGCGTGCGCCGCCGGTCGAATTAGATTCATACACTGTAACAGTCGTATTCTTTACAATATTCGTACGTAAGTCTTGTAGCAGAGACAAAAGCGCAGGTGCCCTAATCGCACTCATTTTTATTTTTATTATTTTTTATTATTATTCTTTATAATAATTATTCGTATGCTCGTCTGGACCTCCGGCGTCGCCAACGAAACCACGGAGACCGGTGTCGCGGAGGGAATCGGCGTGTGTGTCTATCGAGACTGTTGCTCTCTCACGTGTGATGTATCAAGTCATTCCCAGCCAGACAGTATGAAAGAGACGTCTGAGAGGAGGTCTAATCGACGTCCCAGGTCATCGAGACACTCCCTGACTTCGAGCGAGGGATTTTGAGACCCATTCCTCGCTTCTCTCTGACAGCCAGCGAGAAGAGAGAGAGAAAGATCTCCCAAATCGAACGTCGAGTCTGTCGATCAAGTTCGAGACCGAACGAAGATCATCGGGAATATCCCGCGCCCTCGGCGCATTCGTTTAGACACTTGGCGTTATCCGGAATATACTTGGTCCGACGTGTGCCCGTGGCCACTGGTCGGCGCCGGAGGTCCGCGCGAAGGTCCAATATAGCGAAGTACAATTTGTTTGATCCTCTCCGAGTCTCGTCATTGACATGAGCACTAGCACACCGAAACTACGCAATGAGATCCGGCATTTTTTAAGTCCCGCATAGTGTGTGTGTTAAGTGTATAAAATTGTTTGCAGGACACCTGGGTTACTATAAAGAAACGCCTGCCACGGGTGCGCCGCCGCCCCAGAAGGCGGTCGCGGCCCCCCCGGGCCCTTCTTCCACCGAGATAGTCAGGCACGCCTGGCTTCTGAACGTTAATACACAATTGTCGCTGCTGGTAAAACCACGGAGGAAGCCGCGCAAAGCATGCGGATCGTCGCGCGGACGTCGCAATCCCCGCAAGGGGGTCCTCGCTCTTCTTTCGAGACGAGCGATGTCCGCGCGACGATCCGCCTTTCGGGCTTAAACAAAGATTTCGTCCCGTCCATGACGAATTGATACAGCGTGATCGCGCTCTCTGCTGCTACTTAGCGTGAACGTGGTCCGGGTATTTCGAAAAAGTAGTCGGGGATTCTAATCGCATCTTATCCTCTAATTATGTACCTCGCATTGCATTTTATTTCATAAAATACCGCGCGACCGGACGGGGCGATGCTCCCGCTAACATAATTTCATCGTGTATGCTACGCGCGTTCACGCGCTCCTTTATATTAAAAAAAAAAAAAATCTCGCTTTGTACTCGCGTCGAGCGTAAGTGGTCGTTCCCTTCGCGTGCGACGGGGAATAGCCTTTTCTTTTTTTCTTCTTCTTCCCTCGAGTCAACTTTCGTTTCTTATATGACCGCATCTATACAAAAATTTTGTCCCTACAACTGTGTTAGGAAAAAAAAAAAAAAAAAGAGTAATAGCCGACCTCGGGATATACTTTATACATGAAAAATATAAATTTATCTCGTATCACGTAATACAAAAGAGAGAAACCGCATATTATTGGAATTAATCACCAGCAACGACCAGAGTATAATCTAGCTTTTTACAAGTACAAAATACACCTCCTGCACATATGCATAAATATATGTATACACACATGCGCATATATATATACATATACGTAGTAACGAAGTTTTTTCCGCAACATGTAAGGATATAGTAAGGTTGGTACATTTCCTCCTGTGGGCTCGCCATTCGTCACACATGCCTATCAACAGACCAGCGAGTAGTATGAACAATATGAATCTATAGTCTCGTCGTTAACAATTATGATTGTACGTACAAAATGTGTCAATTTGTATAGACCACCGTGTTTATATGTATATATACATACATATCGATGTAGCGACCATTTCGGACGTATCTTACTGATATTAATCGCAAACGTATGTCCTTCCTCTTTTACGTTTTTTTTTTCAGAAAAAAATCGTAGAAAACGCACGCACGTCTTCTCTCTCTTTCGCCCTACTTCTTCGAAGTCGGAGGGTATGAGTATAATTGCATATAAACCTGTAAACACTGACAATCCTACAACTATACTTCGCTTTTTGTCCGTACACCTATAAGAAACTAGATGAGTCCGGTTGTATATAAAAAAAAAAGAAAAGAAAACAGAAAAAGAAACAAACTAACGCAAGTGACACACAGTTAACAGCTCGGTGAGATCCTCATTACATCCTTACACATTAAAAATTAGCGTTACTAAATCTTATTTTTATGCATTCAGGGCCGGCATGTGTTCTCGCATACTTTTTTTTCCCGTTTTTCCGCGTTCGCTTCCGAATCCTTTCTTTCTTTTTCTTTTTTTTTTACTCTTTCTTTCGTTCCTTCATTTGTCGATTTATTTATGAGTGTCGGCTAGAGAGTTCGAGAGGGAGGACCGGAGAATACAAGATGCGTGGATGCGAAAAGTAGTGCGACGTGAGCCCGTGCCTTGTGACTCGTTCGTTAATCCGTGTCAATGAAAGACGTTCCTCTCTGTCTACCGGGCGCCGAATGGCGGCCCATTCTTTTTTTTTTTTGGTTTTGTTTTATTCCCGTGTATCAATTGTAGCAGTCGTATCGTAAAATTTATGCTTTATTTATACAAATGCGAGAGCCGTCGCGTGGAGGTAGTTTCACGCGCGTTTCACATCGCGCAAAACTGCCCGAGCACGCGCCAAATCTCGGCGAGGCTACGTGTGTGAGCTTCCCGAGAATCCATACATCTTGCATCAGAAAACAATGCGCATACGAGACAGTTAGAAAGTCAGGGGACAGAGGATTCATGTCTCTACTCTAATTCAATAGAATGTTTATAATATTATTACATAGGTTGTGTTGTATGCGTGTGGCATATGAGTGTGGGGTGTATGTGTATGTTTGTGTATCATATACGTGTAAATGTAAATGTTAGGACGTGTTACTCGTAGGATGAACCCTGCTCTCATTCACGTAGCAAATGTACGTGTAACGAGGGTGTCGGTGTGTAACAGCAATAAAAACTTAAAGACATCGTTAAGAAAAAAAAAAATTCCTTTGCGAAGAGAACAACGGTGGGCAGAGAGGGGAAGGAGATTAAGGAATAAGGGCGAGGAGGGCTGGTTGGCCTCCGGGATTTGGGAGCATGGTGAGATGAAAAATCCGAACGATTACGGCGACGACGACGGCGGCGAAGGCATCGAACAGCCGTAGCATAACGGCATTGCGATGCCAACGACGGCGTATGACGGCGCCATATCTTAGTTCTCCTTGTACACATCAACGAGACATAAGTCCGCGAGACATCCTACCTAGCTACAACTCCCCGAGTGGTGCGGGCGACGGTAAATGGCTTATCGTTAACGTTAAGCGAGCGGCACGGATCCCGGTTGTCTCCTACTTCCTGTCATCCTGATCGCATTCGCGGCTTATGTGACCAGTCTTGCCGCAAATGTAGCAAGTCTTGCCCCCGGCCTCGGTGCAGTTACGGGCGATGTGGCCCGTCTTGTTGCAGTTATAGCAGCTCTGCATCGCAAAGCGGCCAGAATCATTGCCGCCCTCCGGGCAGCTGCGCGCCATATGACCAGTCTTGTTGCAATTATAACAACTCAACTCCGGTCCCTGTCGAAGAAGCAACAACATCGGTTCCGGTCAGTCTCTAAAGTGGCACTGAATTGTCCACGTGCATATGCACCATATGCACGATCGCTGAACTACACACTATATACGTACGCTACTGACCTGCTGACAGTCCTTCGCGATATGGCCGACTCCGTTGCAGCGATAGCAAAGATCCTGATCCTCCTTGCACTCACGCGCAAAGTGTCCAAATTGGTTGCATTTGAAGCATTTCTCCCGTCCGCGTCCAAAACCGCCGTCTCTGTCACGGCCACGATCTCCCCTGCCACCGCCACCGCCTTGTGGGCACTCCCGCGCAAAGTGACCCATACGGTTACATTTGTAACACGCGCTTGAACTCATTTTTATAAGACCTGCAATTGTAGAGATATATATATACACACACGCACACATGTCATTGCATTGAGATCATTGAACTTTTGTTTTATCATTATGTCTCTATCTGTAAAACGCATTATATATATATGTGTGTATATATATATATATATATATATATACCTACATATATATATATATGTTATATAATATTGACCCCTGATATTACATGCCCATTTTGTATGTCGCAACATATGCTACATTACGTATTCAATATAATTGAATTACAACCTTACAAATAAGCCGAGGGAGGAATACGCGTTCACGTTGCTTCGCGAGAGGCTCTCGAGCTGGCGCTTATCAGGTTTGGGGAAAAAAAACACCTAGTCAGCGTGCACGCTGGCGTTCGCGCGCGGCGGGGAGGAGGGTGCAGTTACGCGATTCCGTCGGAAAAGACAAAGAAAATCGCGAGGCGAGGAATCTCGTACGCGTCCCACCGGATCGGCTCACGGCGGCAAAACGGTCCGTATCCGACCGCGCGTCCCGTGCGCGGCACGCTCGCGCTCGCGCGCGCGTTACACGCAGATGTCCTCTGAACGCCGCGCGGCGGCGGGCGCGCGCCGCGAGGCAAGCGAGGGGGAGGGGGGGGGAGGGGTCGCGATACGCAGGTGAACACGCACTTTATTCGCAAGGCCAGGACGACAAAGCGCGTACTGGTGTAATGTACACGAGAGATTCGCGCAGGCAGGAAGCGGCCGGCCGGAGAACAGGCGGCCGGAGCGCGCAGGACGGAGCATTACGCGCCGCGCTGCACCGTCGCGCCGCATGGCGCCGGCCGGATCGGAGCGATCGAAGCGACGACGGTGTGCGGGCACGCACACGGCCCCGCCGAACGCCGCGGCGCGTTAATAAGATGGTGATCTTTCCCGCCCCGGCTGTCCGCGGTTCGCGATCCGATCGCGCGCGCGAACGTTTCACGGCGGAAACGCGACGGGCGGGCCCCGCGCACACGTGCTCAGCGTGCAACGCGACCCGTCCGCGCCTCATCGGCAATGGCGGGCGGGCGGCCGAGAGCCGCGTGCACGAGGTGCTCCGGCAGCGCTGGGCCGACCGTTGAACGTTCCGCGACGCGTTTCAGCGTTCGACGCGGCGTCGCGATAGGAATATAGAAATATTGAAACCGCTCGCGGCTCTTTACCGTACTCTCTCTTCTCCTCTCCTCTCAATCTCTCTCTCTCTCTCCCTCGTTCGACGATTACACCTCCAGTCTCTCGCGGCGCGCCGTACAACGTGGCTATGCTCTCCCTAGTCTCGGTGCTCAGTCAGCCGGACGCGCGCGCTCTCTCGCTTTCCGTGCTCACCCCCACTTCGCGCCGCCGCCGTCGTCGTCGCCGCCGCCGCTGCCACCGCCGCCGCCGCGCCGCACTGCCGCCGCCGGTATGTGTGCGTGCATGCGTGCGTACGTACGGCGTACTTACGCACGTACGCCGCGCGACACGGCGCGGCGCGGCGCGAAGATGGCATCCGATGAGCGACGCCGCGCGCGCTGCGCTTTTTTTGCGCCATGCACGGAGGAGAGATCGCCCGATGACGATGGCGACCGCGTTGTCGCCCACCGCCGCCGCCACCACCACCGCCGCCGCCGCCGCCGCCGCCGACAACGACGGCGGCGGCGAGGACGCTGCGGTCGCGGCGGCCGCGCGTTCCGGTGCGGTTGCCGCCAGGGATCCCGTCTCGCCAAGGAGTCTCGATACGGATTTTTCAGGGCGGGCGCGAGCACCATAAACCGCGTCCGCGGCGCGGGCCAGGCCGTGTGGCGCGACGAAAATGACGATAGTTAACGGAGCCACGTGCCGAAGTCGTGCCCCGCACGGTCCGCCGCTAAACAGGAAAGCCGCTTTCGCTCCGGCGGCGGCGCGACCGTGCGCCCGCGTGTGCATATCTCACGAGCGTAAAATAGCCAACCCCCTCGTTGCCTGTTTACTCACCAGCTTAGCTGAATTTGCGGGCGCCGAAAGGAAAAAACGTTCCAACGGGACGACAACAGATCCACAGAGAGGTGGTGTTTTCCGTGGGAAAACTCGTCTCGAAAAGGCAAGACCGACAATCCGCACAATCTCAAGCGGCTGCTCGCGGGGACCATGGACACACGAGTAACAAGATGGCGAGAAGCAATTGCGAATGCGTACACCCCGCCGTATCGCGTATACCACGGTGTAATAAGAAAGGTGTAACATTGCGCATAAAGGTGCGATTTCATGCTGACGCTCATTTTGCGCGTCAAAACGGATCACATGATCAAAATTGACGAATACCAAACGTCACTTTTGATCACGTGATCTGTTTTCACGCTAAAAATGAGCGTCAAGCGTCAGCATGAAAAGGTACCTTAATATATGCGGTAGCACACTGGAACGGCCAATCAAATTTGGGTCCAAAGGCACCCGCGATTTGTATATACGATTTTGCACGTAACGCAGTTAGGCATTATTCACATTGCACAATATACTCTGTGCTTTAATACATTAATATAATTTTACCTACGATTATACAATTATTTTTAACTAATTCGTATTTGGCGTCGACATGTATATATACGCAGTCATATTATTTTCTATTTTTGGACCCAAATCTGGCTGGAATTTGATTTATTTACAAAGTGATTTAGTAAGCTCATGACGTAAGCAATAAGCAAATCGGCCAATCACAGAGTAGAAAAACGTAAGGCAATAATCTTACGTTTCGTCTACTGTGATTGGCCAATTTACTTACTGTTTACGTCTTACTGCTTTACGTTTTTCTATGTGCCATGGACTTAACGTGAGACCACGATTTTGTGATTATTGCAATTTGCTTATGGCCTTATAATTATGATTAAAATTTTTTGTATACACGTGATGGCCTTTACTAAAAGAAGAACTGAAAATGGCAAATTCTGATAAACCCACTCAAATCTTCTTTAATCTACATCTATTATTGTGTTTCGGGACTAATTCCTTTTACGTTTATACGTTTATCACGTATATTAAAGCCTTACGTGATTCGCGATACTAGAAATTGGTCCAAGTTCTCGGACCGAAAACTGTGTAGCCAATCAACTTGCAACGTTTGTGGAAAAGTAGCTGACTTTTGGTATCGTGCATACCCAAGGCTTTGATACTTATGGCCAAGACTGTACATTGACACGCGCGCCACTACCGCCACTAACCGGCGCCATAGACGAACGCCACGTATTTTGCTATGTGCTAATCGTGTCGCCGCGTACCGGCGAGTGCGTAACATATAGGAGCGTTTATCGCGACGATTCGTCCCAGCGGGGACAGAGAATTCGTTACGTTACTCACGTTCAACGCCGCTGTCGGTGTCTCGGGCCTCGTCGACGATGTCTCGCGTTCACGCGGGTGCGTTAATCTGCGCCCTCGCGCTCTGCCTGGCCGGGTACAGCAGCTGCACCGCGGCCGACCTTGTGGATCCGGAGCTGGTTGTCAGGAACGTCGAGCGGCACATCGACCTGCAGTCCCAGCTGACCAAGATCACAACCCGAGTGGTGCTGGACAACAGCGGCAAGGACCGCGGCGTCCCGCACTTCCTCTTCTGCCTGGACGACGCCCAGAGCAAGTCCATCAGTTATGTAGCGGCGCGCGTGGAGCCCGGTAAGGGGGACCTGAAGGTGAAGGAGACCAAGGTGCCGGCGCATCGCGACAGGGTCTTCTACTCGGTCGACCTCGGCAACCATCTGGCGGCCCGTCGCACTCTCACCGTCGAGCTGGAGACGGTGTTCACGCACGAGCTGGTGCCGCATCCCAAGCAGATCACCCAGCAGGAGAAGCAGCTCGTCAAGTACACGGGCAACGTGTACGCCTGCCTGCCGTACACCGTCAACAAGCAGACCACGTACGTGGCGTTGCCCACGCGCAATCTCGAGAGCTACACCAAGGTCAAGCCGGTCTCCCAGACCGGCACGATGCTGGCTTACGGACCGTACGAGACGCAGCCGCCGTTCGCCCACGAGGAGATGGTCGTGCACTTCGAGAACAACAACAAGTTCCTCACGGTGACGAGGCTCGAGAGGATCCTCGAGATCTCGCACTGGGGCAACATAGCCATCGAGGAGCACATCGATCTCTTGCATACCGGGGCGTTGCTGAAGGGCTCCTTCTCGCGTTACGAGTATGCTCGGGAATCCAAGTCCGGGCAGGCCAGCATCCAGAGCTTCGACACCGTCCTGCCGGCGGCCGCGTCTGACATTTATTACAGAGACGAGATCGGTAATATCTCCACGTCGCACACCCGCGTCAAGAAGGACTCGGTGGAGCTGAATCTGCGCCCGAGGTTCCCGTTGTTCGGCGGCTGGAAGACCCGTTACACGATCGGCTACAACGTACCCAGCTACGAGTACCTCTTCAACTCCGGGGACGAGTTCGCCCTGGAGATGAGACTGCTGGATCACGTGTTCGACGACATGGTCGTCGACGAGATGGTCCTGAAGATCATACTGCCGGAGGGCGCGCGGAACATGAAGCTGGAGCTGCCGTATCCCGTGACCCGCCTGCCGGACTCCCTGCACTACACGTACCTGGACGTCACCGGGCGTCCCGTGATATCCGTGACCAAGAACAATCTGGTGGAGAATCATATCCTGAGCTTCAGGCTGCGCTACACGTTCCCGCGTCTGCTGATGCTGCAGGAGCCGCTGATGATCGTGCTGGCGCTCTGGCTGATGTTCCTGGCGGTCATAGTGTACGTGAGATGCGACTTCTCCATAGACAAGGACGAGGCGTCGGAGAGCAAGCTGAGGATCGCCGGGCAGTGCGAGAAGATACTCGCGGCGCAGGACCGCCGGAACGCGACCTACTACAATCTCGAGGAGCAGCTGTCGTCCCTGAAGGTGTCCAAGGACACGAACGGTTTCCTGTCCGCGATAAAGGGCATCAATCAGGAGTACAAGGCGGTGAACAACACGTTCAACGAGATCGCGCAGAAGATAAAGGGCGAGTCCAGCGACGTGTACGATCGCATACAGGAGCTGCAGAAGTGCGATCGTTACCTGAAGGAGGTCTACAGCCAGTTGCAGGCGTTGTACTTGGAGAAGCTGATCCCGGGCAAGATCAGCCGGCAGCAGTTTATCGACACGGAGACGAGCATCACCAGAAAGAAGGAGGACTGGATCGAGAAGATCAACACGATCGTCAAGTCGCTCCGGTAATCCGTGTACCGCGAACGAATCTTCGAAAGGACTTCGAGAGCAACGACGAGGGGCGGGGGGTGCATTTGCAATACAGTAACGACCTCGCATCTGTTAATATTCCATTCGCGAGTATCGAGAAAGAATTCCATTACGTTCACGCATCGAGTCACAAGGAAACTTTATTGTTTGCATAGATTAAGATTTATAAATTAAGATTTATAATAATTATCTGCATATAGAAAGGGAAAACGTAAAGGAGACGTTTTCGTTGTATCCTCTCTGTTATATCTTCAACAAACGTTGTGTCTAAATAAAAAAAAAATTGTAAAAGGTAATAGCGACGCTACATCTGTAACGAGATTCCTTATTCCTTATTCAGAAGAAAAATATACAGGCTCACATGTTATTTATGTTCTTAAGCTTTAAAAAAAATTTTAACTTGCAATATATCCAGTACAATAAATTATACAGTATACATATATGTACATATAAAACAATGTACAAGCAATCACATGGTAATCACACATAATTATAATTATTGTAATTACATAATTATAATTACATAATTGTGTAATAATATCATGCATATGGAAAAGAGAATTATACAGCAGAGATGCAGTTTTCAGCTGTGCCAGCTGTGTGCAGGATTCATGATCCCCTCCTAATTGCCCTAGTATTTTTACTTTTAAACATATACACATAGTTATGTATATCGAGATCAGGATTCGGTAATTGCCAGCGGTTGCTATACAGGCTGATCGATGGGAGTGTGGGGCACCGGGGACAGCGTCGGGACGATCACTTCTGCGCACGAAAGCGCAACGTCAGTGTCAGTCCTCCATCGGTCGCTCCGTCCATGTGTCGAGCCAGGCCGAGCCGGTCGTAACGACGGACACCTGCTAACCTCTCTGTCTATCCTCGGCCGGACAGCCGCGCGAACGACACCCCTGCCCCTAGGAACGTTCCATGCTCGCAGCTAGAATGTCCAATTTGCGGAAATTCATAGGTAAAACGCGACCGCGTCGCCGTCGCAAGCAACCCCCGTTTTCCGTCTCGCGATATGAGGTTATAAGCGACGCGAGACTGGGTCTCTTTTTAACTCGACGAAACTCCCGTTTCGTCGATACTCGGCGGATTTTTGTAGCCTCGCCCTCTCACCGGGAGTCGCTTCCGCGAATTCCTTCGCGGAGTTCTCGAACGCCCTCGCGAGGCGCGTTAGATATTTCAGCATGTGCACGCGGTTTTTTCACGCATCAGTAATAATACTGCACGCTTGTCGTATTTTGCACGTTTGCCTTGAACGATTTTGCATTGAGTAGAGGAGAAGCCGGTGTTCTTCATTGCGCTCCAATTGTTGTAGACATCGGCGCCAATTTAACGGATTCCATGTATCAGGGGGTCTATCACGGATCCCAGAAGCACCAGCCGGATTTGGATAAGGTCTTAGAACGGAGTTGGAAGAACAATCTCTCGAAGATCATCATCACGGCCGGCAGCGTGGAGGAGAGCAAGAAGGCTCTTGAAATAGCGAGAATCGATGGCAAGTATATCTTTAAATGTATCTTCAAATGCGAGGGATCTGTAATATAATTTAAATCCTTCTTCGTTAGCGAATCAACATTTCAGTTGTACATCTTGACAATCTTAATTTTTAATTCAGTTAGTTTCAATTTGATTCATCTTGCAAAGTTAAATTCATTTCTGGGGATCAACGACTGATCGTCGTCAATCGACAAAATTGCAGACAGACTGTACTCGACGGTCGGCTGTCATCCGACCCGGTGCAACGAGTTCGAGGAGTGCGGCGATCCGGAAGAGTACCTCAAGTCACTGTCCGACCTGGCGCTGAACAACAAGGACAAGGTCGTCGCCATCGGTGAGATGGGCCTCGACTACGACAGACTGAACTTCTGCCCCAAGGAGACCCAGAAGAAGTACTTCGAGCTGCAATTGTCCCTGTGCTCCACGCTGAAGCTACCAATGTTCCTGCACTGCCGCAACGCCAGCGACGACTTCGTGCGCATTCTGAGGAAGCACAAAAACGAACTGACGCCGGGCGTCGTGCACTCCTTCGACGGCAATCCGGAGGACGCGAATTCCATATTACAATTAGGCTTATATATCGGTGTCAATGGATGGTAAGATCGATAGATGCGAAGATTCTCTAGCTAAAGAAGAAGAAAAAGAGGAAAGATCTGAAAATATAATTCATCTCGTTTTGCGTTTCAGCTCGTTGAAGACTGAGGAAAATCTTTTCGCGATCACTACCATTCCCTCGGACAGGCTCATGATAGAGACCGACTGTCCGTGGTGCGAGATAAGGCCGACGCATGCATCCGCGAACGACGTTATCACGCACTTTCCGTCTGTGAAGAAAGAGAAGTGGCAAGCGGATCAGATGGTCAAAGGGCGGAACGAGCCCTGCACGATAGTGTGAGTATACTTCTTCACGGTGAGATGAGAACTACGAAACTATCTCGGTTTAAAATTAATCCGTGAGATTTTTAAATGTGCGTACATAACACGATCCTAATTACTTACAGTCAAATATTGGAAGTCCTAGCGCGGATCAGAGACGAGGAAGAGGAGTACCTGTGCAATCAGATCTACAAGAACACGATGAAGCTCTTCTTCCCGTACGAGTTATAGTGTGCGTGCACTCGGACGCTGAGATACAGGCGGACTTGCAAGTGCGTTGACGGAACCGTGCACTCGAAATATGCACTGGAAATAATCAGGGATAAAAGCTGTGAACGCGCGCGCGGAGTGAGGCGAAGAGATTAAAGGAAAAGAGGCACGCTGCTGAAAGCTCTATTGAGAGGAGGAAAATGAAGACAACTCATTTTTACATACGTGGCTTTATGGAAAGTGACTAATGTCACTGCCCACACAGATCTCTCTTCCCATGTAAAACTTTAATATATTCTTGTTAAAATTATATTATATTATCATATCTCATATTCATCCATTGCATCTTATCGCGCTATTATTACCATCATTTCATTATTATTATTATTATTATATTGCGATATTTATTAATACTATTCTGCTATTCCTAAAAATATCACCGTTGTTGCTGCGTTATTACTCTGACCCATTTTTTCCGAAGTGATTTTTCCGTATAATCATTTTTTTTCCCTACCTGTAGTAGAGTTCCTCCTTTACTACATTTACAAGAAGAGCTGTTATGAAAAAATTTTTATTCGATCATTTCAATGGAATCGAATATATATATATTCAATCAAAATCCTCAAAATTATAAATGAAAAATACAAAATACTAAAGATCGCACGTTCAACGATTTGCGTACAATAGACCTAATGTGTGTTGTTTGGATATACATATACATATACATATATATTACTTATTAATAATTTTCAAAGAAAGTGACACAAAAATATTTATATATCTCAATAAAAACCGCGTCCGCAATTGTACCAGTTGATCAGAAGATCGCGAAATTTTCTCCGTCAGGGCCAACCAAAACAAGATTTTCTCGTCGAGATATCACAGGTAAAATGGCCGACGCCATTCGCGATCTTCGAAAAAATATATATGTAACGCTTCCGTGTCATAAATAATAATAAATGCCGAGCCGCGTGGGGAGGCGAAGGTCACCGCCGTCGACGCAATGATTATTCATACAGCAAAAAAAACCATTGGGATTTTATTCATGGCACTTTGGAGAGAGTCTGCACTTTCTCGTACACCCAGTCGAACGTCTGAGCGACGTACGACTTCGTCGTGTCTAAAGCCCATCCGACGGAACTGGAGAGATTGTCCGGCGAAAAAGGCCATATTAAGTAATCGCGAAGAGTGGAGAAGCTATTCGGGTTGAAAGGCCATACTAATTGTTCGCGGATACTCTCCGGGCTGAGCTTGCCCCTGAAAAAAAAGAGAAGAAAGGTCACGGTCGGACGTCCGATTGTATTTGCCGCTGCGCATAATGTATGCCGAGTACACTTACACAAAGACGTTCTTCTCCAGCCACTGTATCGCTAAGCTGGAATGTTCAATAACTTTCTCTCCAATCAGAACGAAGGAAACTTTCACGAACTCCAGTCCCTGAAGACTCCGTGATTTAATTTGCTCCAAGATCCCCGGAGCGTAATACTCGATCTGTGTAAAAGAAAAAGAAAACTCGTTACATGTATTTTATATTAAGGTATTTATACAAAGGAACTTTATACAAAGGTATTTTATGTTGCAAGTATATTTTATAGGAAGTTAGTCTTATACTGAGGTGTACTTTAAACAATTCAAATCAAGGGTTGTCCTTTAAAGAAACATTTGAGATATTCAATAATACTTACTGTGTCAACAACTACGGGTACATTCCTTTCGATATATGCTGCGACATTGTTATACTGTTTAATAGAAACATTTCGTACTACAAGGCAGACATCGCCAGCTAATTTTATGTACGGTGCACAGAAGTCTACTACGGCTTTGTAATATTCTGGTGAGCTATCCTTAATTGCTTTGTGTCCTGAGGACCAATAGAACTTTATAGTATCCCATGCGCTTTTTACATGTGTCAATATTCCGCTAGTTTTCAAGAATTTTCCAACTTTGGACTCTACAATACAATAAAATGCCAATGTACAATCAACAATGTGAAGAACTCAATTTGTATCGCCAACATTTGGTTACAAGAAAGATTAGAGTGGCAGAGAGAGAGAGAGAGAGAGAGAGAGAGAGATAGATATCGATGGGCGTGATGTTTATGACAGAGCAATGGATATGTTTTCAATAAACCGTTACTGGTTGGCGAGTTATGCCACGCAAGGCATGATGGTAAGATAATGACTCTCCTTAAACAACAATCTTATGATTACATTATAACATATATATTTGTTGGTAATTGTGATGTGATACGCAAAATTGAGAGAATTTAAGACGTGAAAATGTGATCGGGACGACAACAAGCAGAGATGAAATGAGATGAGAAGCACAGAGAATGTGATTGGAATGTCACCGCTCGCGGGAGACACTTACCCTCAAAGGAGCCATGTTTCTGTGTGTCGTATGCCACCGATATAACACCGAATAGCAGCAATAAAAAGAGAGTGGTGGATCTCCATGGAAAGCCGCGACTGGAGGAGGTCATTTTCTTCAGTAGTGCCTGGAAAGAATAAACGGCGTGAGGCGCGCTTTCTCGGCAATTGTGTCTTTTTATTTCACCGCTCTAACCAGAGAGACTGTTGGAAAAAAAAAAAACAATCGTTCAAACGTCACGGAAATCTCGCGCGTGTCCGTCGAACTGAATTTCTCGCGGCTGAATTTCGGCTGCCGACTTTCTCTCTCTTTCTCTCGTCAGGCGGACGTCAATTCTGAATTCTGATCCGTTCGCGCGCTTGCGGTATCCGTAAATGAAGACGTGTCAACAATTGTCGAGTTGTCGGTCACGACTCCGGGACATGTCCGCGTAATTGCGCAGCTAACTAGATGACAGATCTCGCACACCTTATCGAGGAGGAGGGGGGTGGGGAGGAGGGGTGGAGAGGGATCTTTGAGATCGCGTGCGAACTCGCGGGGCAAGGACAATTAAACGTATCCGCGGCGATCCTGATCGATGCTACGCGGCCGAACACGCGAATCGCCTTGTCATCGCTGCGGAGCGGAGAGGCGCCGGAGAACACGGAACTGTTTTCCGCGACTCGGATCTCCCGCGAGATATCGCAGCTCCGCCAGATCGACAGATCGCGTATAAACACACACACACACACACACACATACATGCGCGCGTGGAATTTTTCCCTTCTTACCTGCGTAGAGACCTCGGGAGGACGCGTTCACTCGCACGCGGGTAAAGCCTTCGCCGCGCGTCGATCCGTGCGGCGGTGCCTACGTATTGTACGTACGAGCGACGGGAAAAAAAAGAAAGCCGGACGAGAGGAGCCGCGCGTGCCGTGCCGTGCGTCAATGTCGTCACTGCCGACCGACCGACCGACCGACCGCGCGTCGCGAGGGGGGCAACGCAACGATCAATAATCCGTGCAACACTACGCTCCCGAAAACACCGACCGACCACCTTAACCTGAGACAAGACGCGCCGCGCCGCTGCTCCGCTCCGCTCCGCTTCGCTCCGCTCCGCTCCGCTTCGCTCCGCTCCTGCGTTCCTCGGGTATCGTGTACGAGTACTATCGAGTCCGCGCCTGCTGGCCGCGAGGCTTGGAGAACCGAGCGCGCCGCCGGCTTCTCTCCACCGGCGTACTACCGACGACGACGACCGACGGCGGCGTCGAGATCCGTTAGGAATTCGCGCGTGTCCGATCTCGCCCGTGCCGGACCTCCCCCCTTTTTTTTTCCTCTTTCTCTTTCTCCGCCCCGCACGGAGGATCTCGGGCGAGGATCTTTGGCTCGGCCGTATGCACGATCGCCGCGGAAACGAAAGTAGATCGTACGCCCATTGATGCAGCTACCGGTTTGCACATGGGAGCACGGAGGGAGATATCTGTCTTTACTGATTAAGTAGAGAATCGACGGTTTACGTTTACCGCCTCTCTGCCTGCAGGGTCCAGGAATGCCGATTTTTCGACAAGTCGTTCCCTCTTCCGCAGAGAGACGCCGAACGGAGCGACGCGTTTCACGTTGACGTCGAGGGAATATCGAGGGAGTGAGATAAGAGGAGAGAGGCAAGCGCGAGACTGTTGGTTAAAAAAAAAAAAAAAAAAAAAAAAATTAAATCCACGATTCGAATTCCGGGTATCGGCGTTTACCGAGTTTACCGAGCTCTTGTTTGTTGATATACGTACATGCCCGTGACCGAGGGGGGTCTAGGAACGACTGCCGCGCGCTGTGTAGTATCCGACGACGCACTAAACGGAGACCGCGACGTGCGCAATTGCGAGGCTAATCTACAACGGCGTTGTTACACGAGGCGAAAAACAATCAGCCGACTGTCAAACACGCTGCTTATCTCGGGGGCATTGATAGGAGATCTTCGGGTCCAAACGTCGATTAAATTTTTTCGATCCTATTCTTATTGAAAAGGCAGAGGCTGTTTGGTCTCTCGCGTGATGATTTTTCCAGGCTTCTCACGTCCCTCTAAAAGACTATCCGATATATTCCTTACACGCGCGCACGCACGCGTGCCTGCGGATGCGTATGTAAAAGTGAAAGGAGGGCTCAATCTCTCCGAAAGAGCATAATTGATTTAGATATTAAGTAGAGAATGCCCATGTATGTATCTATCTCTACGTTTCGCAGTGCAGTTGCGCCGGCGAATTGAAAGTCGTGGGGATAAGCGGCGCGAGACTCGCGATCCGCGAAGACGTAGGAATTCGCCGAAGAAAATGCTTTCTATGTTAAATTGCCCGTGACTCGTCCGCTCGCGTCGGAGCGGATAAATTTTCCGAGCGAGCTCCACCGAGAGGCGCTAAGTACGCTCCTTTCGGAGAATGTCGCGGCTCGCATAATCACATCACATTAAAATGCGATACGTGCAAGTTATGTCTGTTACCTGGGTTGCGCACGCGATCGTCGGAGGCGGGATATCGCTATTGTTAGAGAAGAATGCCACGCTTCGAGTTCCACGACGCAGCTGGATCTAACGATTAGTTAAATCCAGTAGTAATGCAGCAGAGGTTTTTTAGCGCCGTCATTTCTTACGTTTATGTCTTTAGACGCGATTATGTTTTTACGATTTCCTGCATGAATTTCATTTTATATAGTAATAAAGGATATCACCCGTTTAGTGAGGCAGTAATTGACTTTGAACTTCTCACCAGACGAGAGAGAGAGAGGCGATGGAAAAATTAATTCCTCTGTAATCTGTATAAATAGGCATCGATGCAGAACATGATTATTGCTTAAAGATAATTAAAGAAGATGCGTCAGATGTTTTTTTTCTCTGCAAGAGATAAGCGCATTATGGTACAGATACTTGTATCGAAATAAAAACATTTTAAATAATGCGATATGTTATCAGATGATACGTATCGATATGTTATCAGATATGTTTCGATATGGAATCGCAATTGTCTTAAATAAATATGTACATTTAATGCAATCGTATTTCTCAATAGTTCAGATATAAATTTATGTAAATTGTACTTTGAAAGGAATTTTATTTTCTTGAATTTGCCTCACTTCACCGCATCCCGACAAAATTGTAAAAATACACGAGAGAAAGAGAGAACTCACCTGAGACGTTTTCTTGCATGTAACCGCCAGGTTTTCGTCTTTGGCCTTTTTCCACTTTTCGTTATTGTTTTGGATAATACCGAGGGTTTCCTTGAAATGCTTAGCTTTGAACTTAGTTTGTAAACTAGGTAAATTCGTATCTGTAAAAACGCAATTTTTTTTTGCATTTTGTAAAAATGCGTGTACATTTTGCGTATGTAGCCTATTTTTTAGCGTGTGAGAGAGGCGCGAATGCTCACCAATATACGACAGAAGAAGACTGGATTGATATAGATTCTTGGTATAAATGGAACTCCAAATGGTGAAACAGAGAGGCTCCGTGACGAGACAGTCCGCGAGAACCTTAATCAGCTCGTGCCTGTAGTTCGGATCCGATTTCGGCGATACTTTCCCCATCAACATTTCAAACAATTTCGTATAACATATGTCTTTGTTCCTAAACAGTATCGACTGCAAAAGAGATATCGATGTTTTTTTTTTAATATTTCGCAGCTGTCATCGCGTCTTTAAGTTAATAAACGTGCATCGCATGTCGTTTTTTTACAATCAACTGATACGCGTGACGCGCTTAAAACTCCTGCGTTACTTACTCTCAACTTGTCGATACTCGCGCTGAGGTCTTTCCCCAGATTCGCGGGCTGAATGTTCTGAAATCGTTGAGAGTAGGTGTCCATGATGATGTTCAGGTACAGATCGAGACTGAGATCGTGCACGTTGTCGTGCCCGAAGACGAGATCGTTGAGGATTTGCACGACGTAGCTGGCGTAGCCCTTCGTCTCCAGCATCGGTGACATCACCTCGTGCCAGATTTTCAAGCCGACCGCGAGATCCCGCTTGCCGGCCTGCGACCAGGCCCACAGCAGCGACAGGCCGACGTTCTTCCGGTTCTCGTATGAGCTCCTTATGTTAATCAGCTTGGGAATGTTGGCGGCGGTTATCTCGGGATTCAGGTGCGCTAGCAGCTGCAAAAATATCTTGTGACCGACGACGGGGATGCCCTTGACCATGTCGGTGGCCATCGCCGTGAGGGTGTTCTCGTAAAAAATTTGTATGGTCTGCTGGCCGGTCATCTCCACCGCGCGTTCCAGTATGGAAGAGATCGCCTTAGGTACTAAACTTAACGGGTAATCCTTGGGTTTTCCTGAGAATATCGCGTCCTCCTTGTTGATTGGTATCTTGATGTTGAGGAAGGCATTGAGCTCCTTCAGCCAGAGTAAGGGGGCCTCGGGAAATCTGACTTGCGCGGTGGCCAGAAATTCATTCAGCTCTTCCGCATTAATCTGCGTTGTGAAAAATTTATTAATAACAACTCCGTTGTAGCGATTTGATGTAAAATAGAATTTTTATTTTTTATATTTATTTTTATTCTAAATAAATGTGATTTGTATAAAAATAGAAACACATATGCAGTAAAAAGATTAACAGATTAACTATGATTCTGAATTTATTTATTCCAGGCTAGAAGATATCTTACTGCGTTCAATGCATCCTTGATGGTTTTTGGAGGTTTCTCCTTTGGCTCTTGTTTCTTCTTCTCAACATGCTGCTGTTGTTTTTGCTGCTGCTTTTTCTTGTCCTCATTCTCCTTGGTCGTCTTGTGCTCTTTCCCCTGTGTCTTGGCAGGCTTCTTATTCTCCTTGTTTCCATCCAGATTGTCGTACAGTGTCTTCACTTGACTCAACGGCACTGAAATTACATATACATTGAATTAGATATACAACTTCTTCGACATAGGAGTAAAATCGCGGCATTGCTGCAATAGTGTCACAACTCGAAAATTGACAATTTTGAGTTATTCATTACCAGATAAAAGTACAGGTCAAAATCCATTTTTTCTAATGAATAACTTAAAATTGACATTTTTCGAGATATGATACTATTACAATGCCGTGAAATGTAAAATTAATTAAGACTAAGTAGCTGCTTATCTGCAAACCTATTAGCCTATCTGCATAAACTACTTGGAGTTAAGTTTGAGATATATTATCCTTTAGAGCTGCTTGCAAAACAGCTCGAAAAGAATGATTTCTCGACAGATATTGCCAGTATTTCTCTATCATTCTGTGGCAAAGTGGAATAATCACAGAATGATGCATCGCAAAGTGTACACACACTGGTGTACCATATTGCGACCCTTTTTTTTATGCATTTCACATGCGATCGAGGCAGGTCAGATGCATCGTTCTCCCGGGCGATACGTCGTCGACGGCGAATCGACGGAGTCGCGCGCGCGGGAGAATAGGAGCGGAATCTATGGAGGAGGCGCGACTGACCGTCCTGAAGCGGATAGGGAAGCGGGTAGGTATAATTATGACAGAGAGTGGCGACTCACGGAAGTCCTCGACCTTCGGCGCGTTCTCGATGAACTTCTTCTTCTCGGCCCTCGTGAGCTTGCTCGACTTGTCGTTGCCCCTGTCCTTCTTCCTGCTCACCAGTTCCCAGCTGCCGGACGACATCGCGGCGTGCAAAACGCCAGAGTACCAGCGACAAAACACACGTACGCGCACGCACACAAACGTTACTACAAACACGCACGTAAACGTAAAGGTGCACACACGCACCGAGTGGAAGAGAGGAGAGAGAGAGAGGAGAGAGTGAGAGAGGAAAGAGAGAGGAAGACAGAGATAGAGAGAGACGACACGCTGTACGAAAGGCACTGCAGTTCGCCGGAGAACAGCGCGATCGGGGCTGACAATGAGCGTCGGTCGGGTCGGGACGGTCGGTCCCGTTGGCCAAGTGTCAGTCACAACGGTAGTACGTGGTAGCGCATGCGCGCTCGCGCAATTGCCACGCGCACCGGCGACCAACGTACACGATTACGTTTCACCCGCGATTGCTTTCACGCGCCACGTACTTGTTTATTTTCCTTGCCTTTTGCTTCTCCCCTCCGAGCCGAGCGAGAGCGCCGAGCGGCGCGAGAGAGCGCGATTAGGGAGAGGTCTGAGAATAGACATGCTCGCGTTTTAGGAGGAAAAAAAAAGAAGTAAGGTTGCGCCCCGAACAGGAATGCAAGCACGGTCGCGGAGCGCATGGATAAGGAACTGTATTTTGGAGATTTTACAGATTAAACGTTTGTAATCAAAATTTACCTAGAACCACGCAGGGAGACGCCCTTGCGTCCCTTTTGAAATAAAAGCTCCGATCGCGTATCGTTCAGCCGCGCCAATTATTTCACGTGAACTCTAATTAGCTTAATTAATGATATAAATCGGGAGAATCGCTTAAATGTCGATCGACATAACTCGTTTTTTATTCCTAATCTAATCTCTTTTATCTAAAGAAAAGATTAATAAGCTTATCTACGTTAAGAAAATAGTAATTATTTTGATAATAGTAATTATTTTGATAAATAAAGCTCCGAGTCGCGATCACGTCACGGTGGCCTGGAATTCGATTTTCGAATTCGCGCGCCTACCCGCGAACTTCCGGCTCCGGTCGCGCCGCGCTCGCGCTTCGCCCGTCGGCCGCGCGACGGCGGCACCACCGCGTCGCTGCGTCGCGCAACGCGCCGCGGTGACATACCATACACCGTGTATACGTGCATAGTGCCACACGCATACGCGATCGTTCCTGCGATAGGGTTTGAATCTCCAGTGGCGAGAGAGCGAGTGCCGCGTGCCGCGCTGAGAGGGTAGACTTTGAGAGACTAGCGTACGAACGACGCGTCGACGACGACGACGACGACGGCGATCGTTGACAGCGGCATCGCGTATACCGCGCACACTACCGTTTCCGATGCGTGCGACGCGCTCGTTCTGAGGACGTTCCCGTCCGCGTCGCCCGACAACAACGCGTGCGGGCTCTTCGCCACGGCTGTATGCCCGAGTGACCAGTCGCGCGGCCACGACTTTCTCCAACCTGGTTACGGCGGCGACGGCGGCGCGCGATCGGCCGGCCCCGGGAAGCAAGCAGGCGCGCGATCATTCGCCACGTCGTCCTCCCCGTCCTCGTCGCCGTCGGCGACGACGCCGTGTGAAGGAGGCCCTCCGCCGTCGCGCAGGTAGAGCGATTTGTTTAGGTTAACTTGCGGCACGACGCCGTGACGCTTAATCGGGTGGGGGCACTAATTAGGGAACGCGGATGGAGAGAGAGAAAGAGAGTGAGAGAGAGAGAGTGAGAAGAAAGAGAGAAAGAAGAAAGAGAAAGAGAGAGAGAGAGAGAGGGACGTGTGCGTCGTTACCGTTAGCGTTACCCGATTGTCGGGTGCACGCGTGCCTCACGCCTGATCTCTGGGCTATCGGCGTTCATCTCCGTGACCGGTTTTCTAGATTGTTTTTCCACGGTGGGACTCTCCCAGCCGCGTTCGTTTCGTCTACTGCCGTGTCTACCTGCCGTCAGGTGTCTCAACTCGTTCTAAAATATTCTGAAAGAAATCCCAAACAATCGGATAAACAAGCGTCTCTTTCGTTTTCCGAAATTGTTGCGCGTGTTTTTTTTTCTTGGATTAACCGCGAAATACTTTACGTTTGATAAGTTCTGAATAGCTCGATGGAAAGTGGAATGGTTGTGCTTATTCGTCTTACCATCTTTCAGTTGAGCTCCTTGAGACGGAATGGGTAGCAGCGGCCAACTCTACAGTCTGTCCTGGGGAGAGTTCAACTCCTCTCTGGCGTCTGCGGTGCAGGTGTTGAGGGGACACGGCGATCTGGTGGACGTTACCTTGGCCGCCGGCGGACGCAGCTTCCCCGCGCACAAGATCGTTCTCTGCGCGGCCAGTCCGTTCCTGTTGGACTTGTTGAAGGTTGCACATCTTTCCGATGAGATTTTAGCCTTTGAGCACATAAACGTGAAAACGTCGCTGATACTTAAAGTGTATACTGTCGGCAGAGCACGCCATGCCAGCATCCGGTGGTTATGCTGGCGGGAATCGGAGCGGATGACTTGGAGTCTCTGCTGGAATTCGTGTACCGTGGAGAAGTGAGCGTCGAGCCGGCGCAGTTGCCCTCCCTGCTTCAGGCTGCCCATTGTCTGTGCATCCACGGACTGACGCCGCCGACTATACTAACGGAGGTATATTTTTCGATGCCATCTCGTTTTGTTGTACTTAAATAAAAATGGAACGATCAATTTAAAGCGTAATGTCTGTACAATTAGAGCGGAGAAGAAGTTCCTGCGTCTGCGATACCAACGGCGACGAACGATGGCTTATCGAGGTCGACGGGCAACTCGTATTATCCGCTGAAACGAAGAAAAAAGAGGAGGAAGTCGTCGACGTCCTCCGGAAAGTGGCAATGTACTAGTAATACGACTGACAGCGAAAGTAGGCCTTTGGACGACAACAGAACGATGCCTTACGAGAGCAAGGACGACGACACCATGGATCAAACCGATGATGCAGGTAATGTGATGCAGTTTCGCAAAGATTGTACATCTCCCGCTTAAGTGAGTTTATTTCTTAATTAAGAAAGCTGCAAGAGATTAGCTATGCAACGGATTTTGTTATCGTTTTCCTCATTTTTTAAATATTTTATAATGTACTGTGTGATGAAAATATTTATTTTCTGTGTAATATGATTTGCTAGATGAATTCTCCTTATTTTATTACTTAGCGATTTGCTTATCGCAATTTTTGAGTTTATAAAATTCCGATAATTGCAAGATTATAATTAATTAATTAATTAATTAAGCATGCAAGACAGAAATGAAACGGCAATTCCACTTGTGTTTTGTGTCCGGTGTATTACGTTTATATAGCACAGTAGTCGTCATAAAAAACCATGCTAAAAATTATACCGCCTGCGAGAGATTTCGTACATCTACGCGTAGGCCTTTTTTTCGTTTCAATTAAAACGGACACAAGCACAACCATCGATCGGGTTGAACTGCATTTCTGATTGGTCGTCCTTCCTATTCGTCCGGCCGTGAGAGCGAGAGCGTGAGAGCGAAAGAGAGAGAGAGAGAGAGAAAGAGGGGGAAAGAGAGAGAGGAGAAAGAGAGATAGAGAGAGAGGGGGAAAGAGAGAGGAGAAAGAGAGATAGAGAGAGCGAGAGAGGGGAAACGCAAATTCAAAGTCAGCCAAAGGCAACGTCAGTTCAGCCCCGTATGGTAACATTGTGTTTGTGTCTGTTAACAGCGGGCAACTGCCTGGTCGGAAACTACGCGAACAACCATCAGGGCGGCAGTCATTCACCGCGACTTCAAGAGTCGCCCGTCGCGGACAGTCATCAGGCGCATCAGGATCACGTTTCGGACGGTGAAACGCGCAGCCTGCACACGTTAAAGCCGGTGCAGTTGCACATACCGTTCCACAGCGCCCTGGGCTTTGCGTCCGGTCTGTCGTTGACCAGCTTGGCGGCCCAAGCTCAGACGGCGTCGTCCGGTGCGCTGGCCGGCGGCGCGAATCAGTCGAAGGCGCGCGGCGCGTCCGACTGCCCGGGCGTTTGCCCGCTTTGCGGCGCGACTCTGCGCCAGGCGAGGAATTTACGCAGGCACCTATTGTCCTCGTGCAAGTACCGGTTCACCAACTCCTCGGCCGCCGCGATGGCGACGGCGCACAATTCCGACACGGACGTCGTCGTCAAGCAGGAAGTCGAGATACCGGGCTACGATCAGTCGGTGATGTACGGGACCGACAGCGGCAGTAACGACTGCGAACAGATAGTCTGCAATCCCAGCTTACCCTCGCCGACGTCGCACGAGCCTGAGAGCGCGAGGTCGTCGCCGGCCAGCATCCCGTCGCCGACGATCGCCAGATAAATGTACAGGGAAACGGACTCACCGGGAGTATCGAGACGAATTTTGTGTCAGTTTTGTAATTAATTTTCTTGCGGATTCCGTTTTCCGATTGCCGATTGTGTTACAGTGAAAGCGATACTCGTGGTGGTGAGTGTGGTAACTGTGTGGTTGCGACGGTAAAAGAACAGAGAGGAGAGATGAAAGATATTTTGCTTGTATATTTACATGAACATTTATACGATGACGGTTATTTGTAATCATTGGCGTACGCGTTATTTAACTAGGTCGAAAATTCGGAAATTTGCGCGTTTAGTTTTGTACGAGAGAATCTTCCATGTTAGTGTATAAGATAGTACCGTAGGGTTAATCGATGCAGGTTTAAGTATAATCTGCGACAGATGTAGCGAGCCTTGAGCCATCAATTGATCGGACAAATGCGAGAATATTCGATTGTTATTGGACAAAGTGGCTTAGGGCCTTACTGCACCTGCTGCAGATCGGGGCTAATGAGGGGAGTCCTATCGTGAAATTATCATTATTCTTTTACCATCGACTAACACGATAATCGAGGTTTCGTGCGATTGTGCAATTCAACTTCGTCCACTGCGTTTTTTTCTTACTGCCTTTTTAATTCCCTCCCTCCCCCCCCCCCTTTCCCTCCTTCACCGTAGATTGGTCTAATAGCAGTACGTTTCTAAGAATACGGGCTACCGTTTACGAGAATACCATTTTATAATGAAAACCGAGGATCTTCCAACAGTCACAAAGTGAAAATAAAAAAAAAAACAAGATAACTGATCGGCGCACATTCCTATTTTATAATGGCAGGCTCTGCCGCGTGCGTGGACTGTTGACAATAGTACATACACAAAACCACTAGTATTTGAATTGAGAAAGAAATAAGATAACGGGTATAATGATGTACTATCCAGTTTCTTTTCTTTTTCAATAAAGCGTAAATAAAGTGAGACTATGTTCTGTGTTATTTTCCACAAGACACAAGATTTTGGCATTATTACCTGAATTACTTCGTCTATTTTTCTTTTCTTTCAATCATTATTAGAGTGGATATATGCGCATATACGCTAGAGACATGTCTGAAGGGGGAGATGTTGCGATCCGACGACAAGTTTCAAGTGTCTGTCTAGCTTTGAATTCGTTCTAGGGGACGGATTGTCGAAGGTACGCAGTCTGTCCGATCAGCCGGTGTCGTGTCCGCTGTGCGGCGCGATTCTGCGCCAGTCGAGAAATCTCAGAAGGCACTTGGAGCTTCTGCACTTCGGTCTGGGCAACGGCGGCAAGTCCGGCCTGCACGCGAGGCACCGACGCGTGGCGGCGGCGGCAGCTGCGGCCGCGGTGGCGGACAGGGCCAGCGATTTCGGCCTGTCGCCCTTGGCGTGCGTTCGTCCCACCGCCAGGCTGGACTCGCACCTCGCCGCGCGGTCCTCCGAGGCCTCGGACTTTTCCATGGTGACACCCCTGTCGATCGCCTCGTCCGTCAGTTCCGCCTCGAGCGTCAGTCTTCCAGGTGAACCGCAAGTTATCCGGATTTCAAGAATGTTTTTTTTTTATTGTGAACGCCTAGAAACGTTTGTTAGATGCATGTCATTTAAATTGAGCGAACTCCTGATTTCGCGAACGCAATTAGACACACAGAGAAAAACAAAACGTCCTGACTGAGGAAAGAGGATAGAGAAAATGAATGATGGAATTATCTGGATAAAAAGATTTCCTCTCCATGTGTAAAACGTTTGAAGAATAATTATTGATAATGAGCTCATTGGTTGGTAAATCATTGGCTCGACGGAGAAATGTTACACAATGGCATTGAAATTTTAATGTTACGCTTCACGCATATTACACGATGTACGCGATATTGTCGAAGGATTAACGGGGATGCGCCGAATGCGTTATCGCTTTCACTAAAGCGATTACACCGCGAACATATTCACACGAATTGCAAGTCTCTCCTTTACGTGGATATAAATTCTGCACCGCGCGATCATAAGCACTGATAATTATCAATGTTTTGCGAGAGCGCGCGATTGCGACCGGAATATTCGCGATGGGATTTATTATACCATCGCGATTAATCCTCGCGATGTTAGGTTTCACGTTTATCCAAAAAACGTTATATATATTGTTTACCTTTATTTCCACGAAACGAATTTTCATGATCACAATTTAATGGCGTGCAATCATGAGTTTTTCTCTCAAGAGATATTAATTACGATATTATTCATAATTTGTAAAATATTCATCCTTTTTTTAAAATATTTATACAATAATATTAATGAACATTTTATACCATTTTATAAGTCTAGAATTCTCCTTTTTTTCCCTTAATGCACAAGAGCTTAATTTTATAACTATAATTAATTTTAGAGTTCAAAATTTTAATAGCCTCACATGTGTACGCTTATTATATTAGAGATATTTATAGAGGACGATGCCGAGAGATCTTGCGTTACCTCGTAATATCAGCAAAACCTAGATCTCTTCGATATTCGTAGGAAATTTGATGAGTACGAGCTCGAGCCTGTTGGGTTCCGGTGATCAAAACGGACATCCGCTATCGGGATCCACCATGGCCACGTGCAGCACGTCTATGGTACCCCCGACCAACGGGATCTACTCCTCGGACGGCGGTCCCAGTATGCTGAGCTGCCTGCTGCCGTCGTTGCCCACGCTGCCGTCCTTCTCCGCGTCCCACGATGTGTTCCGACACGGCGAGATGCTGCGCGCGGGGATCGCCTATCACGATTCCTCCCGGCAGCACGTCAGGCACATGCAGCGCACGGACGTCACCTAATTACGTGAATCCGCGGAGAAAACCGAGATGTGACAGTATTAACGGAACACTGAATAGGCATCACTAGGTATAGACTTAGCTTAAAAGTATGGATATTTAAGGCGATGTGGTAATTATGGACGGGTATTTTAAAAAATGGCATTAAAAATGCCGCCGAAGCGCGGCGAGATAGCGATAAAATAGCGTGACGATGAGTAGCAACGATATGTTGTGTTAGGAATTTTTTTACTCGGTGCTATGTACACGAATTCAAATATATGTACGACTTATAGATAATAAATCGTTTAGTGATAATAAATATATATTTGTTCTCTATTTTTTTTTTAGACATGGATGTATAAACGCAAATATTAAAAAAAAAAGACTTCGACGTTTATTGAAAATTCTTCAAAGAGAATAAGACGTAAGATCCATTCGAAATATATCACAATTTGCAAGTTTTACCCTAATAATTATTTGCACAAGATTCATTTTGATAGAATATTATACGAAATCGTAATATTCATTTCCCTGCCAAGAGGTGAGATCATCTTGCTTGTTTTGAAAGATCGAGAAATTTATAATTCTATCTTTTGTGCTAATTCTGCATAATTATTCTTAGAGATTGCTCACATTTATGTTATTCCGAATTACTTAGTATTTTCATAAAAATATTTAAGTCACTGAGTACCAAGAGAAGAGGTACTTTCCCTTTGAACATCGAATTCAAAGAGATTGAAAAGAAGAGGCTGTCATCATTTACATTTCCTTTTCCCGAAGAAAATCCTTTTATCCTGCGCATCGACCATTCGCGACTATCTTTGAAATTACGGTCATGATGTTAGAGATCAGATGATTAGATTCATCTCTTCGTGAGGCCTGCTGTTTCCCAGAACGAACGGCCAATTTCTTCTGGATATTCTCTCGAGTTCCCCTTCCAAGAGCTTCACCAGGTCATCGAAATATCTCAAGTCGTGAATGTCTTCTAGCAACCTCATTGTGTCACTCGACAAATTGATCGCTTTTTTTTCGTCGCACTGTAAAATTCACAAGACGAATGAATATTGTACTATAGTGACGGTTTTAGTAACGGAAACGGTATGTCGAGATGCAAATGAGACAAACTTTTTCTGTACTCTGGATATACTTTGGCAGAATTCTAATCCGCCATTGCTTAATTCTGGATCTGTGTTTAATATCGAAAAGTTTCAATAAAAGATATTTCAAAATAATCTTTTCATTGACAAAGATTCTCATTTCGCATTAATTAGAAAGCTTGTCATCCATATTTTAACGCAAAATGCAATCAACGTCAAGTAAGAAAACGTAATCAGTACAGTATGTTTCAGTTCTTGTATTTTCGCAATAATATCCTTTGCAGTGACGTGGACTTTCTCAAGAAATACATATATAACTATTTGAGATTTTGTGTCAAGATTTTAATTTCACGTCGATTAGAGGGGAAAGATACGTACGTTGCACGCGAGACGTTTACCTGAAAGTTTGTACGTAAACCGCGTATATCCCCGTGGATCTCTTTATTGGCGAGCTGCAGCCGTTCTATTCTATCGCGGAGATGGTGTATCCAATTGTTCGGATCGTCGGGAACCGTCGGCGCTTCCACGTCCGTCTCGATGGCCAAAGCCAATCTGGTTAATTGGTCGTGCGTGGATGTGCCTTCGCAGAAACGATCCTCCTCCTTGAGGAGAATCGTCGCCTTCCCGGGATCGCTCCGAAAACCTTCGAGGATAGACGCCACTTCGTTGATGGCGATACCTCGACCCTGCAAGACAATTTATCCTGTTTTAGTTTATCGACAAATCGAACAGCTTGATTAAACAATTAACTTTGTGCGGAATCTTTCGTTACGCGGAAGAAACGTACATTTCCAAAATTCACGGCGCGATCCTTCGACGCGATCGCCAACTCGTCGCAGAGGCACATCGCTTGCCCGTTGTTCTGGCTCTCCAAGCTGCAATCGTAGCTCTGTATACCGGAAGTGTCCTCCAGGGAGGAGGGCCCGGTGGTTGCACCCTTGCAGTCGTCCCAGGTGGAGTTTAGTCTGTCGTAGCTTGATTCGCTGCTGTCGGCCGTCCTCATACTTCGCACACCGCAGTCTCCGTCGGTGGAGGGATCATTGTTCGATCTCACGGACGCGTTAGAATCGTCGGCGGCCCATTGTCGGCGCTCGGAAATGGACGAGGAGATCGAGTATGCTCTCGTATCCGTGCTCAGTAAGTTTAGAAGTGTTCTCAGCTGCGTTGTACCTGCAGCGTTCGTGATGCTTGGTATGCAATCTACTTGCCTGCGCTAATCGTATTCTCCAAGTTCTGATAAGATTTATTAAGACAACACGTCTCGAAGAGAAAAGAAAAATGTGGTAGAAAATATTGATTTTCGCAAGTCTAGAAGAGTTACGTCGGACTGTATAAAAAAAAACTGCAGGCTTATATACGGAGCTGATTAAAGTCCTGAGTAAAGGAAAGATTAACGTCTCTAGGCATGATTTTCCCGTTACATTAGCGTCAAGAATGTCTCCGAGTCTTTTTTCCTATTTTGACGAGTTCGCTAAAAATTTGTTGGTATAAGCTCTTAAGCGTCGAACTCGAGTTCGGGTTCGCTCAAACTTCGGAGCTGCTTCCATTAACTGTCTTTAGCCTGCCCGGCAATCGAACCCCGGGATCGAAGCCCGGGCCGTTGGCGTGCCCGCAACAATGCTCGTGGCAGTTTCGCAGTCTCACGGCTCACTCGGCGTCTTTAACGGTGGCTATAGGCACCGAGCCGCGATCCCGGGGACGAAGGAAACGAAGTGAATCTGATACGTCAAGCAACTCGATTCCGCGCGCGCATTGGTAAACCGCGAAACTTTATTAGGTCAGGTGCCGCCGAGTGGCCCGACGAGTTTCCACGAGGCTCGAGGATGATTCGAGGGAGATCCATCAGGCGCGACCCATCGGCGCTTCCCCCCTCGGGGCCGCGGGGGGGGGGGGGGGGATCGAACGAAAGGAGGGAAGGACGGGACCGACGGAGAGGAAGTACTTGGATTACACGTACCGATTTGCCTGGAATCGATGAGGCGGCTCAACCGTTTTCGGCGGGACCTCCAGTCTCTGCAGCTCTCGTTCTCCGGCGTGAATCTCACCTGGGAGGAAGTGAAGCGACGAGGGGACGGTATGAGTATCCGATATTCCTGCGATTTGATCAGTCTCTCCGGGGTGTAGCAGACGGGAGTGATGCATTCTTCGTCGATGCTGCGTCCGCTGCCGGTCGCAGTCGCGGGCGAGCTGCTCTGCATCCACCGAGCGGAGAGATTATTCATTATTAATCGCGCTTCTATCGTTCGGGTCTCGGCGGGACCCGGCGTGTGCGTCGTTAAGTCTTCGCGACATCGTATACGTATCGAACGTTTTACGAGTCTGATAAACTCGAACAAAAAATTGCAAAAAAAAAAATTAGAAAAACAGAAATACTCTCGACTCACTAAAGAGAAATTACGAAAGCTGATATAAATTCGTAAACCAATTTGCGATGAAACACAATTGCAGTTAAATGACGAGTGCTTGCACTCGTATTCTCGCGTGTGCAAGTGATATGGATCAGTCGCGCGAATCGGCCCCTTTACATTTATTTGCCCAGGTATCTAATTAACCGAGCGATCCCTTGCGGCCTGATAATCGGATTGTATACAATTCGTGTAATACGTCGACGGGCAAAGGGGAGAGGCAGGAGAAAAAGAAAAAACGCCCGTAAATGGAGATAAAAATCCACGTTTCGCTAGGTAGAAGTTCCAGATATGTATACCGCACGTGAAATGTGCAACCACGTGCGCACACGGAGAATACGGAGGTTGTCTGTGTACACCGTAAATAAACTAAATTCTCGTCGAAAGGAAAGCATGACCGCAGGAAACTCAACGAATTGCAAAATTAAAGTGCGCCGCCGCACTACATCCGGCACTTATTAATTTAACAATATTGATAGTTCAATTTTGTAAGTATTCGAATGATTGTATACACGAGTAACATGTCAATTAGCTCGATTAGATATTTTAAAAATGTCGGTAAACGTCTTCGCTCTTTTACGTTGCTTCTTGAATCATATTACATTATTCCGCGGGATTATACATGTAACAAAATCTGCGCGACGGGAGAAAATAGAAGATTCATTTTCGTATCTATATTATTAATTATAATATTAAAATTATTTGGAATTTAATTGCCTAGACAAATCGCAAATATTAATACAATAGATTACATATATGCGTATGTGTCTGCAATTCGAAAACTTAAGCCTCGGAACATTCTACATATTAATCAATGGAATGTGTCACACTTACCGTTCCTTTGATGGCGTCCGTCTCGATCAAATCGACATCAAGATCATCCCGCGTGAACGAAATCAGCTCGATTTTCTCGTAGATTCCGCTCTCCTGCTCCCGCCGCGATACGTCCCGCGCGAAGTTGCAGCTATCCGAATCGTTCGAGTCGCTCGAGTAGGACAGGATCGACGCGGGTGATCGATGATCCTTGACGCGACGCGATCTGGGCGATACTATGATCCCCCGATCGTTCAACCGCCAGCCGAAATTCTCCTCGGCGTTGGGCGACGACGAGTCGTACTTGGCGGCGGTGGCGGCGTCTCTTCCGTCCAGATAGAACATCGCCCGGCGATTCCTGACGTTTTCCAATCGACGTGGGGCGCGTGCAGATTTTCACCGCGCTGAAAATTCCGCCTGCAAGCAAGACGGATTGACGTGTGGAAGAAATCGAGTTTCGCAGTAATTCCCGCAAACAGGAGCACCTGAACGGCGCGGCGCGCCGCGGCGCCGCCGCGCGCGGCAGTGCCTCGAGGATTCGCGCATCGACGAATCCCCTTCCCAGCGCGCGCAATCCCGCCGATTTGCCGATAATAAATTCCACACGATTTCGATTTGTCAACGACGAGCCGCGTGCGCGCGAGTTTCGACGATAAATCCGCGCTCTGAACGAGCTCTTTGAAAATTGAAGGCAATGTCGTCTCGTCACGTTACGCGCAACGTAACGAATAAGTTACAATGCTATGTGAAATTGATGTAAAACTGATGAAAAATGTACAAGATTTATGCAAGATTTTATATAGAATTTCAATTTTATATATATACACATATAAAAATATAATCGATTTGATCATAAAAAATAACATCAAACTTTAACATTAGCTTTTCGCGCAAATTATTTGCAGTTACGCGTCATTCGAGAAACAATCTGCAACGGAGAGCATGCAGTTGAAACTGCGCGAGTACAGTTTCGTTCTCCTGTTACTACTGATTTTATCTGAGTTTTGTTTTGCTTCCTTGAGCATTCCGGTTGAACTGGACTTACAAAGACAGCGACTCAAAATGTACGAACGGCAGGAGGAACTGCATAAAGTTCGCGATGTGTTAATACGTCAAACATTAAATCTTGTATGAATCGTGAAAATCGGGCGACTCCGTGCGCGCCATTACGAGCTGGAAACTCATACGGCGCCTTGACTATCTTCGTTTATCTAGTAATGTCACTTAAGTATGCACTTAGTGAATATGCGCGCTGTGAACAAACGATGAAATTTTCACTCGTCCGACATTTCACGCGAATCTTGCGTCATAGATTCAATACCAGCCGATGCATTTAATTAGTGGCAGAATTACAATCTTTTTCATGATTGCCTAACTCACATCGTTATTCAAATTTAAGCAGAAAAAATATTATTTTATACAATTAAAAATGATTTGCCAACATATTCATTCGTTAAATTAGCCGTTGTTGAATTAAATATATAAATTTACCTATTATACTTAATTTAATGTAAATTTAATTTAAATTATTTTATTTTGCTTAATTAATATATGAAATATTTTTTTAATGTTTCACTATTCGCGTAAGATATTCAATGTGACTGCAGATTTTGTACTTCTGATATTATACAAAACCTGTCCGATTTAAAAGAAATTTCTTTTCACATATTTCTTTCTTTCAAGAATGTACCTTACAAGAATGTATGTATATGTATAATACGAGTAACAGGAGAGGTATGCAAAGTAAAGTATCTCATTACAAGAGAGAAACGCTCAATAATAACGCAATATTCCCCTTCCTATTAACTTCACTGATCGTGATAATTATTTATAAGGTCGATCTCTCACGATTATTCGGCAATCAAGCCGGATGTTCTCGAAAAATACGTTTCTTAACAAGCCTCACTAGCCGTGCCCGATGATCGCGACCGACTAAACGATCGACGAACAGCGAGCCGATTTCCGCGTCGAGTTGCGTCCCGATGACTTTTCATCGGATCGGCACGTGGCTGCGCGTATGTATATATGCAATCCGATCGGCGGAGGGGAGATCAGATATCCCGGGATAAGATCGTGTTTAACGAGCCGTACTCGATGACCACCGTGCGTCACATTTCGCTTCGCGATCGTGAGCGGAACCGCCGCGCCGATTGACCGCTTAATGCGTCGTCAGCACGTCGGACGTTGACTGTCGGCGGTCATCCATTTCCTTGGCCACCGGTCGTCATGGTGACTCTAATTTAATAATCCGTCATTTCCCGCTTTGCGTGTCGCACCTTTGCGTGCCGGCACCGCTGACGGCGTGGGCGGCAGCATCGAGTTCTGTTGCAATCTCCGCACTTCTCCTTTTCTTTTTTTTTAAATACTACTTCATACATATTTGTTCTACTGTCTATTATAACGAATATCGTATAATTGTTTGCGAGTCTCTTCTTTGTCGATTTTATCGGCGAAATCGCAAAAGTCTCACGTCAATCGCGAAAATCCCCCGGTCGCGCAAAAACCATCGCGATTCCCGCGCGAACTATTGTGAATTCCCTGCGAAAAATTTCACTTCTCCGCGCGCTCGTAGGAAAAACGTTACGCCACGTACTTTGAAAAGCAGCGTAATGCTCCGCGAAATAACTCTTTTCGAACGCGGTGAATAGAGTGACGTATTTTCAATGAATTAAGCGAAAAGCGTTTACATTTCGAGTGAAGGAAGGAAAATTCGGTTGAGCGAGCAGTTTGGATTAAATGAGCTCAGTTTAGCGTTTCGTCTTTCTTTGACGGGCTAAATATGTAATGTACTATGCAGAGAGTGTAGACATAAAAATTCGCTTGCATCAGAATTAATTCTAAACTGTCCAGATTATGTAATGTGGTAATTAACTAAAGAACAGTTCTTTAGTACTTATCTCTTCTTTTACCGTATTCTCGCAACGTACCAACAAGCCTGTCATCTCCGTCGATCGCCACTTACAATTCGAAAGGCAACGACACCATATAGTAGCACACTATCACTTGGTTCACGCATACATAAACCTTGACTGATATCGTTAAATTCTTTAGCTTCTTCAGAAGCATATGTTTTAACGGAGCCGTAGAAAAAAAGTTGGATCACATCAAAATTAATTTTAAATGATCAAGGTTTCGTAATCGTCTCTAAATTAAAGAACTAAACTCTGCCATGTTCCTGTAACTTATCAGACAGCCCGTCTTCTCCATCCACTTTCTCATGCACTTTGATTAAAGGTAACGACACTGCCACACAGTAGCACACTCCTATGTAGTTCATATATACGCTGTAGACCTTTAGACAATTTATCTCGTTGCTTTTGAGTTTTGAGTCTCTTCAGAAGCGATTCGATAACGAATTCCGGCCTGACTTGTTTTCGCGTCTATTACCCGCGTTTATGTCCCGTGGAATGTCGCGCACTTTTAACGATTCTGCATCGTTGTTATTGGAGTTTTCAGTGCCACCGGGCGAGTATAACGATAAACGTATACATGCGTGCGATCGCGATGATTCTCGCCGACTGACAGGGAATGACGTGTCCGCGGGGCGCCGTTCTGTATTTACGATAACTCGCTGACCCGTGTGTGTACCGTGATAATTTCAGTTGCGCCGAGTATCGACTGTTCGACTGTATACCTATATATATGTGTGTGTGTATATATGTATACGTACATACAATCGCGCGTCGTCACGATGTTGCTAAACAGGCAGAAGCAGAGGCCCGTAAGCGCGCGTATGCAAATAGCGCGATTAAAATTGCGCTGGCGAAACAATTCGCAGGGAAGAATTGCATGTGATGGAAAAACTTCTCGACAGTTTCGATAAAAGGAAAAATCTTGGAAGAGACGTCAGGGACAAATCAGACTCTTCGAAGGGTCTCTAAAAATGCCGTGTAAGAAAGTCCTTTTCGAAAAAGAGAAATCTCCGCGAACTGCTTCCATCGAAAATCCGCACGCTCGATTATTTTGGAAATTCTCAATCGTATGAGAACATGATGAAATTTTTAGCCGAGCTAAAACAGTTTTAGAATGACAAGATAATTGCTTCCTGATGAAGTTGGTTATTTCCATACGTCGAAAATTATTCTTGGTAGAAAATCAATTACGGGCGATAAGATATAGATATTTTTTTTTCGCTCGCGCAATTTATTATTCTAAATTTCGTCTAAGCATTAATTGTCACAGAGTCGTGTTTGCACTTTGTTGCATTTATATTTGTACACATTTGTACAGCACAGAAATATATTATAATTGCCGACCATAATTAATGATCGTTTTAATATCTTTGATTAAAGTGCGAAGAAATATATATATCTATTTTATACCGGCTGCCTCAGACTCCGTATTATCTATCCAAATTACGCGAATCTCCAGAAGATATTCGAGAAATTAAACATCTCCCTTAAACGCGGAGGATTATCCGGATTAGCTGTCACAAATGCAATTTTCTCTCGTGGGAAACGCGAGCGAGCCTCAAACGGTACTCGCAGCCAAACATCAGGGTGTACACACCGTTATCACGCTGATTAATTGCTTTGCTCAAGCTGATTAATTAATTAACCTCAGGCAGGGCGAGCACGTAGTATGTAAATATTCGATTATTATATAATTCGCCGGATATTAATTCAATCATTTCGGTGAGTGAAACATGCGCGAACCGTTCGGCCAACGGATTTTCATACTCGTTCTCGAGAAAGGAGCTGATAAGCGGTACCATATTTTTTCCCGTCCGCCGTTTCGATCGCGAATCTCTTGACAGCTTTCGCGTTCAAAATACTCTCTCTTGCGCACGTCGACACGATGACCATATTTTTGGGATTCACGATAGCGTCATTAATCGTCGAGCCCGGGGCACTTTGCTGTCACTTATCACGCGAGAGATAGGCGAGTCGAGAAACGCAACTGCCAGGCTTGCAGAAAGCCAAACTCAATTTCGAGCGTGTTAACGCCTTTGTTTGTTCTATTTGCGGTATCTATATCGAGTGCGACAGATCGGACACCTGGAAAAAAATCGCACATTATATCGCCAGAAAAAAAACCACTTGCACTTCGTCTCTCCTCTCGAAATCATCGATAACGCAAGGATGACGTCGCCGCGGCGCACCTGCAAGTGTCGCGAGTCGTTAGATTGTCTTGCGAAATAAACTATTTTCCGATCAGTCAGCCTGTGGTCTAGGGGTACGATTCAAGGGGTATTAATCCATCGGCACGCGTGTGCGAGTATTCGAGACTACATGCTGATTTTCGTTTTTTCCGAGAGATTTTTACGGTCAAAGTTCAGCTGGCGCCACGGACAGCCGGGCGGCGAAGGGGCGGTTTTTCGGGTGGCGTTTCGGCACGAATATTAATCAGGATGACGTGGACAGGCCTTGATCGAGGGAGAAAAATGATCGCGTATCGCCGATAACGTTATCGCGGCGCGGCGGCGGCGGCGGCGGCGTACGCCGTCGTTCGCCGCTCGCTATCAGGTGTAACGGACGCACGTGCACATGCGGCCGCGCGCCGCGGTCGAGGCATGCGAGGCGCGATTATCCAGGCCTCCGCTCTGGCACCGCGACGGTCCCGGAACAAAATTTTTCCCCAGGGGAAAATGACGTCGGGAGTTAGCGGCGGTATGGCTTTTCAAATTATACGCGAGGGCGATCAAAAACCGCGCTCGAACGAAAATTCCTATTTATAAAATAAACGAGTGTTACAAGATTTTTCTCGCGCTAATCTTTGACATTTCGCGCTCGACTCGCGCGAAATAAGGTCGCGGAAGGATACATACGCGTGTGCGGCTCGAAATTCATTTATAAAACCCGTGTTTGCGGAGTATCTCGTTTTTCCTACGCGATGAAGCGAAATCGAAATGGCTAAATTCGCGACTGCTTCCGGATTTATCGAATTTACATTTTACGTTTTCTCTCGTTATACCGCGGGATAAGCGTAATCAAACATTTGCACGAACATTAATTACAGATTCACGCGGTAGCGTATTTCAAATTAGTCCGGGCGCTATTACGAGGTCCGTTGATTTTCCACGTTTAGAAGACTAGAATTGCTAGACGTGCGTCAGCGCGGATGTGCAGTTTACCTCGTGAGCCCCCGAGATTACGTTAATCTCTCGCCTTATCAAACGGGAAGATCGCGTCGACCTTCCGCGATAAGGTGAATTAGATCGGCTGTGCATCGTCATGCGAGAAACCGCGCGGTTTCGCGATTGAGACGGGACGGGGGGGGGGAAGAGGAAGGATCGAGTGTCATTGAATTACAATGGCGAAGGGGACTGGAGTTACACCGACGTGGTTGGATAATAACATCATGCACTGTTCGATACAATGTCTGGGATCGCTCCCGTAAATTATACTTCTCTTGATAATCCAGTCACTCGATAGCTCGTGGTTATTTCAATGTGATTGTGCAACAAGGCATGTCATCATATATGTATATATGTATATTTAAAATAAATAATATTATATATAAATGTATAAGTAATATATAAATATTGCATGTAGGATGTTTAATTTTAAATATTTTTAGACACATATCAGGAAAGTCAGATACTTATTGTAAGGATAGCGATACTTATACATATATGTTTTTCTACATTTATTAGTGCGTATATGTGCGTTAAAAATCATAACGATCTCGACGAAAACATCAATTGTCTTCGAAGAGAAATGAGAAGCTTAAATCGCGCGTTCTGCAATTACTTAATTACGATCTGAATCTCGAAATTAATTTCGAAACTCACAACATTTTGTAATTTGTATTACGAATAGATATATCGCGCGCTACATATATATAAATTATATAACATTATATTCTAATTATATTGCACATAATATATATAAATATCATATGTATATTTGATGAAACCTGACCTTTCGCATGCACACCTCCTTTCACGCTCGTCGTACTCCTTTGTCTCCGTTACATTGTTCATACGCAATGAATTTATTAATGTTATGTTTAATTAAATGTAAATTTGGTCTGCGTGCTATTGTAAAGATTAACCTTTTTAATGATGTAATCAAGTTGAAGAGAGGTATAAGAATGGTGGCAAATTTGTACCAGATCCAGAGTTGTATATTGAGAGAATAGTTAATGCCTTCACTAAAACGGGATACTCTGTGTAAATTATCTCCGTGCGATTATCTATCGCGCTCGTGCAAATTTTCGATCTCTCGACGGTAGCCGCAAACAAAAACGAAAACGAGAAGGTTCTCGTGCATTTTCTATAAAAACGATCCCATTTTTTTTTGCTGTCGCTACGACGTTTCGCGCTTCTCATGGCATTCCTATTTGCGAATTGCGATAAGTAAATTTCCATCACGGAAATGAGAATTTTCATCGGGAGAGCCCGATCAACGGATCAAGTTGCGCATGCAGATCCGCCGTGCAGATACGGAGATCGAACGTCGCGTGAAGGTACGATGTTATTTCTGGTGCATCAGAGACAAGTGAAAAGGATCGAGCCTGTAAATTTATCTCGCGTATATATATATATATATATATATATATATATATATATATATATATATGTTTTCGCGTAATCAAAGGGGATACGGATTTCTATCAACGGATTGGAAACGGGTGAAAACGAGAAGTTGGCTGAGGGAGCTCAAACGGCAAAGAAGACGCGAGATGTGGAAAACGATTCCGGGACCTCCCTCAGGCTTGTTTCTAAGTAAATCATTCCCGTGAAAGTCACGTTCCCGTCGAGCGACGGATACGACAGCCGGAATATGTCACACAACTCGCGAACGTCACCGCCGTGTGAAAATTTTAGAACAATTCCCAAGGCTTTTCGCCAGCTCGCGCGAAGTCTTCAGTTTATATTTTTCTCTCGCGGTGTGTAACGCGGGGAAACAAACGCCCCCGCCCCCCGATCGAGCAGCCACCCCCCGTCAACCTTCCCGGTGTAGCATCTCCGTTTCCACACGCACCGCGAAAATTCGCGTTCCACGGCGGCGGCGGCGGCGGCGGCGGCGGCGTCGCGGCCGCGTATATATACATACACCCGCGCTCGAAATGCCGAAATTCGAACAGGTTGCGGCGCACGCGTGGCAAGATGGCCGTACGTC